GTCTGTCACCTACAATTACAAATTATTTCCTCAGCTTTCTCTTTCATTGTAATTAACCTTCTTTGTTGGGTGGTGTAGACTGCTGGCCTACTTGTAGTCTGTGGGCATAAGGTTCATCCAGCATAGATTCATTTTACTGTGCATAGATTCATTTTACTGTGCATCGACGGCCACCTAAAAGTGCGGGATTTCATTTAAAATGTTATCTGACCAGGTCTTCAGTCCGTGGGGGTGTCTGTGAAGGTGGTAGTGATTCTTCTGGCTGTCTACACCGCCGCTTTGTGTCCCTATCCTCCCTTCCCTGGTGGAGCCCGTCGCCCGTCACCACGCAAGAGGACGTGTCCTGTCTTCAGAGGTCTTCTGCTCCCTGACGCCGTGGTTGTCGTTCCCACTGGGCCCCTGGCTCTGGGCCTCTGCCGGGCACAAGCTCATCAGGGGCATGTGTGTGTCAGGGTGGTCCAACGTCACTCGATCAACTGAGCCGCAGCTCTGCCTGCTTCCAGTGGCCCCTCCGACACTCTGGACATTTCGATCATCTTTGACTACTTTAAAAAAAACTCGCCACCTTTCACATCCGTCAGGAAATGGCTCATCTTAAATGTCTGTGTCCTTTCCCCGTGCATCTTAGATGTTAGACTTTTACCACAAATGGGGATGAAAACGTTTTTCCCATTCTGCAATTTCTCTTCATGTTTTAGCTTGACTGGTTTCGTTTGTGCCAATTTTGTGTCAGAAAAAGTGTGTATTTTGTCTTTTGTACAGCTGGTGAGGGCAGTACAGCCTAGGGGGCAGAGACCCACTAGGAGACAGAGAGGAGACAGAGGAGAGCAGCCACGTGTGCTCGTCTGTAAAAGGAGGTCACCCCTGTGGCGTGGCAGCAGGACACTCCGTAGCACTGGCGCACAGAAAGCACTCTGCTTGGGGCCGTTCTCCCAGACTCTTCGTGTCTTACTCTGCGTTGTTGACCAGGGTTCTCAGGTCCATCGTAGTCATGTGATTATTTTCCCGGGTCTGCTCCTTTCGCCCCCACGACTCTTTATACAGTTTGGACAGCCTCTAGGAAGGCTGCACATTTGTCATTTCTTAGGACGCTGGCATCTTCTGTGACCTTCATGGACCACGCATGGCTCTGCCCTTCTTCCCCCATTCCAGTCTCTCACAGAGGAGCAAGGCGAGGGATGTGCCCAGGGCCCCGCCGGGAGCTCAGGCCAGACTCCACGCCAGGGTGCGTCCCCCCGCTGCCAGCGTTCTGGCGGCACGTCCGAACGGCCGATGGTCATCAAGCACGTTTTCACGGTGGCTCCTCACGGCCGCTCAAGAATGGTGCCTTCCTAGCAGTTTCTGTTTCACATGGGACAAGTTCTCACGCGTAGCTCTCCTGCTCTGTCACTGTGGTCTTACAAAGGAGCGCCCCATGCCAGCAAAGGGGCATCCAGGGTGTGCGGGCTGCGGCAGGGTCTGGCCGCTACAGGCAAGGTCAGCGCCAGGAAGAGCTCAGGGCTGTGGAGGGAAAACGACAGCCAGGGATGGGACTCAGGAAGATGAAATCCTGACGGGGGGGGGTTACGGGAACCACTAGTGAGAGGAAGGAGGATTTCTCCAGCAGGAAGTGACGGCAAAGGGAGCGAGCCACACGGTCAGGCCTCCTGTCAGGAGCATCCCTGGCAGCTGTGAGACGGGGCCAGGCGTGAGGGGCAGGCGCGTGAGCCGGGGTGGGGGTGGGGGGGCGGGTCCAGGATGTCCAAGAGGCGCTTGGTGCCAGAGTGCAGACAGCCGGACGTGCAGGGCTGAGAGTCACGCCTCAGTGCGTCCTGCAGCATCAAGTACTTAGCAGGGCCAGGCGCCGTGCTGGGCCCGGGGAGACCAGGCGTCCACAAATCAGTAAGAACAGAACAAGGAGGGGGAGGAAGGTGCCTTCATACGGTGCCTCCTCGGACGAAGCGTCTCATTTATTCTTTAACAGCCCCGTGGGGGAGGCACTGTTATGCCCATCTTACAGTTGAGGAAACTGAGGCAAACAGAAGTGCAGTGACTTGCCCAGGGTCACACGGCCAGTCAGTATGTGAGGCTGCATTTGAACTCAGTGAGCCCCCAGCTGTCTCTGGGTAATCTGGGGAGGCAGGACACTGCACTGGGGTCCGGGGCCAAGCACAGGCTTCCTGTAGGAGAGTTCCCAACAGAGCTGCATTCCAGGCAGGGAGAGGGTGGGGCCAGTTTACCTGCAGAGCAGCGTGTGTGAAGGGGTGACGAGTGAAGATGCGGGCCCCAGCTGCCTGCCCTGCTGGCTGGACCAGGGTGGGGAGGGCCTTCTGTGCCAAACAGGGGCCACTCAAATACAGGGGATGCGGTCAGACAGGCCTTGGGAAAATCGCTTCTGTAGCAGGTCAGGGGCAAAGTGACAAGACTGGAGGACGCAGAGACGGGGAGGCCAATGTGGGGGTCGTGGCAGCCACTGAGGCTGGCGGGGGGGGGAGGGGGCCAGACGGAACGGGGGAGAAGTGAGTGAGGAGGCGGCGGCAACAGGTGTGGCCAGCTTGTCAAGGGGTCTGCAGCCGTGGACTTAGATAGCTGAAGCCGTGGGACAAGACGCAGACAGAGGAAAAGCTGGAGAGAACCGCAAGTTTCAACGTTTCCTGGGAACTCTAACGCCTAAGGAGGTTACAAGCTAAGGTGATCTGCTGATACAGACAGGGAGCCCACCCCCTGCTTTCTCAGCGTCATCGGCCATCTCCACCACACGTGGACTCCTTCGCTTCCACGAACCCTCACATGAGACAGGCTGCCGACGTCTGGACCAGGCCACCATTCATTCTGAAAGGTCAGCCCACGACCATGAGTGACGCCTATGGCTGTGTTAGCTTCAGTCCTGCAGACTTGGAGGGCTTCAGCTGAGAAGACTCAGGAAGCAGAGACTGTGAAAAATCGTCTTTGAGCCAAGGCTCAGGACCCTTTGCCCCAGGGACTAGAGGCTGGAGCCCTGACCTCCCGAAGCTCCACTGAAGGATTTCCCAGGTCAGGAATCTCCGTACCAGCCAACTGCCCCTCCCTCTGGACTGCTCGGGCCTCTCCGTCACGTCCCCCACATGGATGAGCACTCCCCCTCCACCCGTTTCCAGTTCTCTTCTGTCGTGTGTGTGTTGTGTCCCCCAGTGGACTGTAAGATCCCCCAGGGCAGGGACTGGTTCTTTCACATTTCCTGGCATAGAGTAGGTGCTTAATAAATCTTTACTGATGACGGAAAATACTTTACATAACATTTATACAGTGCTTTTACTCATAAGGATTGCTGTAAGGTTTGCAGAACACTTTACAGAGGTCTCATTTCATCCTTACAACCTCCATGGGAAGGGGGTGCTGCCCTATTATTCCCATTTTACAGATGAGGAAACTGAAGCAGAAGGGTTAATGACTGACCAGGGTGACATAGCTAGGAAGAGTCTGAGCCCAGATTTGACTCTAGGCATGACCTCTATCCACAGTGCCACCTAGCTGACAAGAAGGTATTATAAGAATGGCTAAGAACTGGTAACAGTATAGACGCCCACCAGTAGTCAGGGAATAGCTAAGCAAACCGTGGTGCGTGAACATGACGAGCATTACAGTGCTGTAAGAAACGATGCGATGAGCGCTGAGAAGCGCGGGAAGATCCAGAGGAAGTCAGCAGAGCCAAGAAAACAGTGAGCGCAGCGACGGCGCCAGCATCGTCAACGACAGAATCACAAACGCCCAGCAGGGCTCTGCTGAGGAGGGAGGAGCGGCCGCCCCTTGGTGGAGGTGGGGGCCCACGGGACTCCGCGTGGTACATTGCATACTTCTCCACGTGTCCAGAGTTGGGCTTATTCATATGGTCCCCTCTGAAAACACTATTTGTCATGTGGGGTGGCTCTTCGGGGCGGAGAAGGATCTATGAGATGCCATGGTGACGTGAGAAACAAAGTATCAATAAGAACTTACAGACTGGAAGAGTATAAAGTAAGTCCCCAAGGATTGGCCATCAAGACAAAGTTCTGGAGTCCAGCCCCGTGTCCCCAAGAGAATGCCCTCAACAACCTTCCTGACACGCCCCGCCTCGGCTGGGCCTCCAGTGACGGGGAGCTCCCTGCCTCTCCAGGCAGTCCGCTGCACTCTGGGTCAGCTCTCACCATTCAGAGCCTACATCCACCCCACTGCCTCCTCCTCACGAAAGCCCTTTGGAGATCCCAGCGTGGCTGTCACGTTCTGCCCCCACCTCATCCCGTCTTCCCTTCTATAGGCTGACCCTCCCTGGCTCTGCCAGTCTGCATCCAAGTGGCCTTCAGGATGCTCTCCAGCCCATCAGCCCCCTCCCCAACTGGACAGTCTTAATTTGGCCCTACATCGGCCCCTGGTGGGGACTGAAATAGGGCCAGTAGCTTGAAAGGAGGGGGGGCGAATCTGAGCTCACTCTAAGACAGAAGTACTCCCCGAGGATGAGAGCTGCCTTGGACACAGCGGCCCCTCCCCCTGCGCCCCTTCCCCGCATGACGCCTTAACGAGCTCTCCTAGGCAGGGAAAGGAAGGCCGCACAGAGAAAGCCCCACGGGATGGCAGAGATGGCACTGCCTCATGCATTTGGGCTCCCCTCCAGGACAGGAAACCGAGCAGGCAGCCCAAATCCCGCTTCCTGCAGGAGGCCTTTCCCCAGCCCCGGCATGGTCCCTGCCTTGCCACTCTACACTTGTTTGCGTGTGCTCCTCCTCATTTAGCGTGAGCCCCTGGAGAGCTTGTGTTCGAGTCTCTCTCTGATCCCCACAGTGAGCACCGGTCTTGGCCTGTGTCTAGGCACCTAACCTGTGCTTGCCAACGAGGAGGACGGGGTAGGTCCCACGGAGACGCCACGTCTGCAGTGGCTGAACCACCCCGCCCCCTTCCAGCTCAACACAAGCTGACCACCCAAGGAGCAGTGCCTTCCAACAGGTGAGGTCACACCTGTTCCTGGGAGGTAGATTTTTGTCCCCTGAATGACCACGAGAGGCAGTGACTCATTCATTCCAGAGGTTCCCCACTCTGACAGCATATCCATTTATTACCAAGGTAGGCCAGTGTGTTTGCCTGCAGGAGGCCCATTTACTGTTTAGCTCGATTGTCACGTGGAGCCCTCATGCCGCTCACAGCTTGCGTATCCATCCTGTGACAGGTCCCACGAGCCCCACTTCACAGCGAGAGGTAGGGCTCTTTCTCCTCCACATTCAGCACAGTGTCTGTAGTGAGACCAGTGTCTTCTAATGTCTGGTCTTCTCCCACTTCCAAAGGTCTTCTGGGATAGGAAGTGGAGAGGGTATAAATGGACCTGTGATACCCCACTTTCATCATCCAGTCCAACAGTACCTACAAGACAAAGAGACTGGTGACCACCAGGTATTCACGCAGCCCTCTGGGCCCTGAGGCTTCTCAGCCGTTGCACTGCTGAGCCCTGAGCAAAGCAGAAGTCATCACCTTATCCCAGAAATCCCAACCCAGAGATCCTAGGCTAGGCCCTCACCCGGGGGGACTCTTCTTTGTAACCCTGAGCATTTCACCGTCAATCTGAGAAGGGTTCTTGGGCCGCTTCACCAGACTGACTGCGTGAGGGCAACCTCCCAGCCCTCATTTTACAAAGGAGCGAGTGGAAGGACTAAGACCCCAGTCTTCTCTCTGCCCACGGGCCTGTCCTGTAAGCCCACCTCCCAGGCTTACACAAGCTGAGAACAAAGAAACCGGAATGGTTTGTAATTCTGGGCTGACACTGCTGGACAGTTGGGAAGCCCTGTGGGGACGCCCAGCCACGAGGGCCCGTGGGGGGCTTCAGGGTCTTCAAGGCCAAGCAGTGACGGAGAGATTGCATGACGGGGAGGGCAGAAGTCACGATTCCACGCCACCTCTGACAAGTCACTCAGCTTCTCTGTGACTCAGTTTCCTCGTCTTTAAAATGCAAATAATAATGTTGCTTACGCTCATTTCACAAAATAATCTCTAGAAAGCACTTTGTAGCTGCCTGTCTTACAAACATTAGGCAGGGGGCGGGAGGGGGCCAGGGTGCCCGGGCTGGGGGCAGGGCCAGGGGGGAGGCAGCCGGGGGGAAGCCCTCTCCCCTCATGGGCATGTATGCTGGGCCTGTGTCCTTACCTGCTCTCACCCACGGTGACAGAAGCTCCTGGTTTGACTCACCTGTGAGCTGCACGTCTTGTAAAACCTCCGTTTGAGCACTCGTCCATCAGGACAGCGGAGGGCGACCGTAACCACCTGGGACGAGGAGGACGGGTCACTCACCGCACCTCCACGGGCCCCCCTCTCCATCCCAGCAGGCCGGCCTGGGGCCCTTTATGCACAGAGCGGGGCCTGGAGTGCGCCCCCCGGCCAGGGCGCACGCACACCCCGAGAAATCGGGCGGAACAGAGTTTGTATGTAACTCTCTGTGCGGCCCCTGTCCTCCCCCTCCCCCCAGGAAGGCGTAAGCTCCCTGAGTGCAGAGGAAGCATTATTTCTGCCTCCGTATCTCCAGCATCTGGCCTCACTCTACCAAATGCCGAGACAGGCTTGTGCGGCAGGCGGGGGCACGCCCTCACACACAGCCCCCTTCCTCTCTGGCCTCGTCTCCCTCCACCTCCTGTTGAGCCCTAGGCCCCTGCTGCCCATCCTTCACAGAGCCAGAGGCATCTCCCCCCGCCACTCCGGACCCTCCCTCCGCCCCCATCACTCAGCCACTCTCCTGCTGAGGTTCATTCTACACAATCCAGAGACTGGAGGCAGGTCGCTGTCCTTTCTTTCTCACAGTCCTCTCCTCCCCTTAGACTGGAGGCCCAAAAGAAGCATTCATTAAGCGCCTGTTGTGTGCCAGGCACTGTGCTAGGCGCTGGGAGAGTGGTGAAGAAGCGCTTCTTAAGCACTGGCTACAGCCAGTCATTGTGCCACAGGGCGACAGAGAACCAGCCCTCGTTCTCAGAGAGCTCGCAGCGCTGGGACCGCGTGCCCAATGTGGACGGTGTGAACGGGAGGTGGGCTGATGGGGGGTGGGCCCCCTGCCCCCAAGGAGCTGACCGGGGCGGACACAGACGTTGCTGACTATATAAAAATACACACATAGCAACACGGGTGGGAAGAGAACAGCCTTCCACCCACAGACCAAGGAGCCCCTGATGGCGATGGCCCAGAGAAGCTGGCCCCAGGGGCCTCGGGCACAGGCGGCCCCTGGGAGAGGCAGCCCAGCCAGGGCCCTACCGGGGCAGCGGGCATGAGAACAACAGGAAATGTGAGGCGGGACCAGCCGCTGCCCCTAGGCGAGGGGCCCTTCTATCTGACTTTCGGCTGAAACCTTCCCTCCATTGTCTCTCCCCCATCAGACTGGGAGGTCCTGGGGGGCTCGGACTGTCAGGCTGGTTGGCATCCCCAGTGACACGAGCACAGGGCTTGGCACACAGTGAGCACTAAATGAATGCTTCATCCATTCATTCTTGTGGCAGACGGCCCCTGAGTTTGGAAGCCAACAAGGGATTCTGGAAGGTGGATGTGAGGAGGAACGGTGTTCCAGGCACAGAGGATAGCCAGCGCAAATGCTTGGAGGTGGGAAAGGGAGGGTTGTGAGGGAGGAACAGCAAGGTCAGTTTGGCTGGTGGGGAGGGTCTAGTGAGGCCAAAAAGGCATTCTAGGGTCAGGTTGTGCAGGGAGGTGAATGACACGCAGGAGTTTCTAACTGATCTAAGAGGCAACAAGAAACTACTGAGGTTACTGTGTGTGTGTGTGTGTGTGTGTGTGTGTGTGTGTGTGTGTGTGTATGTGGATGTGTGTGTCTGTGTGTGTGTGTGTGTGTGTGTGTGTGTGTGTGTGTGTGTGTGTGTGTGTGTGTGTGTGTGTGTGTTCATGATCAGACCTGTGCTTTAGGAAGACGGCTTCTGTAACTGTCTGGAGGATGGATGGGAAAGGGGGAGGACTGGGCCAGGCCTGGCGGCTATGTGAGTGCAGATGAGAGGCTGGACAGGACACAGGTGGAGGTCCAAATGGCAGGACTCGGCACAGATGGGCCAAACAGGACTGAGAAAGACCTGTGAAGTTGAGCTGGGGTGACTGAAGGCCTGGGGACCTGCTCCTCACCGGCACGGGAGGTTCAGAAGATGCCCGCCCTGGGCCCTGGCCCAGCATCCTTGGCAGTAGCCGTGGAGAAGGCTCTATTCCCCGCCCATTGTGCTTCACTGGTACAGAGTGAGCTTCCCAAGGTGGGCAGGAGTGGATGAAGCAGGATAGGCATATCACAGGTCTCGTGATGTCGCCTCACTCTCTGTCACTTCCCTATTGCCAGAGAGGGCACCACCATCCTCCACTCTTCGTTCTCTCACTCCCCAAATCCAATATGGCGCTAGGGCCCGTCCATTTCACCTTCACAGAATCTCTGGTCGACTCCCTCCAGTCTCCCCTCTGACGCTGCCCCCATCTGGGGCAGACCCTCATCGCCTCCGGCCTGGACCACTGCAGTGGCTGCTGGGGGGGGGGGTCTGCTTTGAGTATCTTCCCGCCCCAGGCCCTCCTCCATTCACTGAGTTTCCTAAAGTTCAGGTCTGACCATGTCACTGCCCTGGTTAAGGGGGCTGCTGCTAAGCATGCTGCCCACACTCTGGCCGGCCTCCTCCTCCCCTGGGACACCCTGACCTTCCCTTTCTAGCTCCCGTTTCCCCCTTTAGAAAGGAAGCTCTTGGGGCTGCTAGATGGCGCAGTGGATAGAGCTCTGGCCTTGGAGTCAGGAGGATCTGAGTTCAAATCTGGCCTCAGACACTTGACACTTACTAGCCGTGTGACCCTGGGCAAGTCACTTAACCCTGCCTGACTCACCAAAAAAGAGAGCAAGTTCTCTGAGGATAAGGGGCTGTCTTGCCCTCCTGCACCCCCAGCGCTAAGCTCAGCGCCTGGCACAGAAGCGCTTAACAAACACACAGAGGAATGACCAAGAGGCTTCATCCATCTGGCAGAGCCAGAGGCTCCCTGCCGGCTTCGAGGACCCCCGTTATCTCTGCTCCTTCACTGCTGCTTCTGCGTCTCCCAGCACCTGGCATGTGCCCGCGCTTGGTAAATACAAGATTGGACTTAGAGGAGCAGGCCTCCAGCCCAAAGCTTACCTCCTCGGCTGTCTCCGGAGGTTCTTCAGGTAAACCGAGGGCCTGAGGGAGGAGGAGAGGAGGATGTTAACGAGGAGAGTCGCCAGCCAGGAGCAGAGGCGCGCTGCCGCCGTCGGTAAGGTAAGGTGAAAGAACCACAATGCGGTGGCGGGAAAGCCGCCCGGGCTGATCCCCGGCTCGCTCCTGAGGTTCCATATGTGGAAATGAGGGAGTGGCGCACACAAGATGTGAAGGGCTTGCAAGGGGAGGTGGCTGCAAGCTGCCCAGCACTGCCCCGAGGTCCAGCCCCAGGGAGGACCTGCCCAGGCTTTCAGGCTCAGGACGATCCCAATCACTCCACCCTTAGTCCTGGGAACCGATTAAGTCTTGGGCCTCGTGCCCAGCCCCACTGGGGTGCAGGGGGCTTGACTGTGAGGTCCAGAAGTGGCCCTGAACCCCTGTCCTCTTATTCCCCAAGGGCTGAGGGGTCCTTTAGAGTGATTAACAGAATGACAGAGCGAAACCTTGAGTAACCGAGCTGTGCCACCTTCTGACTGGCTAGAAAGAAGAAACCTCAGACATTAGCCAGACATTACATCATCTGGACCTCTCCTTCACTGGGGTGGGGACCGAGGCACAAACCAGGAAGGGGGAGAGGTGGGAGCTGAGGCTGCAGGGCTCTGGATGGACGCAAACCCCTGTGCAGTGCGGGGAGAACCGGTGTGGTTAGTCCACTGAGAACCAGGACTGAGCCCTCCTCGGGACCTGAGCAGACAGGCCTGGGATGCGGCTGACATCTGGGCCTGACAGCTGGGCCAGGCCCTTGCCAGTTCTAAGCACCTGCTCCCCTGGGGCCTCATGGGTCCTCTCCCAGTGCACGGTCACTTTGTCAATACAAGACGGCGTGGGTCTGGCATGTTAGTCTAGAGGGGCTGAGGCAAGTTGGACTCAGTGACCTGAGATCTTTCACATTCTGTGAATCTGTTAAGATTCTAATAAATCAACTTGAATTGCAAAATTATTTCTGCTGCTTAAGACTTAGGTCAGTGTTCAATGCTTGGGCAAAGCCCAGTCCACCAGGCTACCACAGCCTCCCTGCCAGATGGGGCCATCAGGCCAGCCACAGGGAGCCGTGCCTTAGCTATGCTGCCTTCCTCCGCCTCTGCTCCTCGGCTGGAATCTCCCTTCTGTGTCCAAGCTGATGGCTTCCGCCTTGCCTCCCTGGGATCCTGCCCTGACCAGCAGCAGACACCTGGCTGCAGTGAGGAGAGCCACCCTAACTGGGGTTCCTTGGGGGCATGTGTCTCCTCGCCAGGCCCTTCCCAGTGTCCACGTGGGCTGTCAGCCAGTCCTGGCCCCAGGAGGCTGTCCAGGGCTCCCCTGTGATGGGAGGGAGGCTGCCCCAGCACTCTCCCCTCGGAGGTTCCCACGGGCATTTCCATCTAGGCTCGGCGGCCTACTGCTAAGCCTGACGAAGGAAGGGGCTCGGTGCTTGCAGCTCCCGATGGCAGCCCGGGACGCTACATTCTTTGCTCCGGGCTGCACAGAGAGGCTGGAACCTGGATGCAGCCTGAATCTGCTGCCAACTGTGGGGCCTCACTGGGAGAAGGCCCGTCCTTTCCCAGGCCTTCAGATTCCCAGATGTGAACAAAGGGGGTTGGGACCTTCAGCCAGTCTAGACCAGGCTGCCAGGATGCCGGGTCTGGGTTCCAGACCCCTGTCACTGACCCATCTGGTGAAAAGCAGCGTGCATTTTTGCCCATCGGGCTGTGATTCAGAGTAAACTGAATTGGGGCCTAAAGGCTTAGGGCAGACTCAGCAGGCAGAGCTGTGCCAGGGTATATCTGCAGCTAGGCCAAAGGAACGGGTTTGAATTCCGACAGCGATTTACAATCAAGGAACTGATTTGACCGCTAGCCAGGCAGCCTGACTGGAGGGACTGATCTCCAGTGTGCCGTGTAGACCTGCTCCTTCTCACCCTTGAATTCTGGGCGCCTCCACTATGATGACCCACACAGGCCATTTCAGCTGTAGCCAGAGCAAGAAGTGAGCCGAAGCCGCCCAGTGGAATCACCTGAACCACAGAGCAGGGGAGATCCCTTCCCCCCCAGGGGCCACCTGACGGCCACCAATACTTTCCCAATGCCCCGATGGCTTTCTGATATGCTGACAGGCTGAAAGAAACGGAAAGCCCCCTTTTCACCCGACCCCTGAATCCCACCGGAGGATCATTTCTGTTACCTTTCCTCCCCTAAAAAGGACAAACAGCCCCTAGGTAAAGAGAGAACGGGATTAAAACAAAACGGTCCTGGGGCGATGATCTCACACCAAAAAGGTGGGCTTGGATGCCACCCACGCCTCCCACATCCGCTGGCATTCTCTGCACCAGAGCCTAGGCCCGAATACCAAAGCTGATCTGGAACAACAGTGGAGTAGAGGAGGATTCGCTTTCACAGCCCAGGGCCCACGCGCTTCCAGCGCTGGGGAAACCCTTCACCTGGTGCCCCCAGGGATCCGATTCAGAGGACGTGGGCTCAGATCCCCGCTCTAACATGTGCCCTGACAACCCCTAGCTCGCCCCTCCCCAGGCCCCTGGTCTACCTCAAGAAGCCTCTGGAATTCATCTTTCTTTTCCATGTTCTCTTCTCCTAAGGGAACATAAGCTCCCAGCTCCCAAGGGCAGGGACTCTGTTTTTCCTTGTATCTGCATCCCCGGCACTTGGAGCAGAGCTGCCTGCCCTGACTTCCGGACCCTTAGCTTGCTCATCTTTAAAATGAGGGGCCTGGACGAGATGACCTCAGAGGGTCTGTCTGGCTCTAGAGCCCCAATCTTATAATCTATGCACAGAACCCCACCCCCAACAGGCACCAGTGGGCCTTCTGGGGAGCTGGAGGGGAGAGAGGTCACCAAGTGGGCCTATGTCTCAGGAACCACCCCAGTCCCTGGGGGTCGGAGGGGAAGGGGACAAAGTTCCCAGCACAAAAGATGGTCAGCCACAGACATTTGAGGATTTGTGCCCAGATGTCACACACAAACCCAATTTAGAGGTGATTAGCGGGGTCAGTACTGAATTCAGCAGGAGGGGTGGGGGGGGATGTTGTTATCTGGATGAACTGAACACCAGAGAGGGAAGCTGAGGAGCAGACAGCCCACAGCTTCCAACGTGGCCTCAGACACCGAGTAGCTGTGCAACCCTGGGCACGTCACTCACTCAAGTGAAGCACCGGATTCCATGGCCTCTTAGGTCCCCTCTACCTCTCACTCTGAGGTGCTCAGGAGGAACTCAATGAAGGAATTCGAAGGGAGAAAAAAGGGAAGAGAAGACCAGGATGAGAGCAGGTTTCCCTCAAGAAAGAAAAAACAAGGCAGGGCTGGTGGTGGTTACAGAGAGTAGGAGGAAGGAGGAGGAGGGAGAGAGGAGGAGGAGGAAGAGGAGAGAGGAGAAGGAGAGAGGAAGAGGGAGGAGAGAGGAGGAGGAAGGAGGAGGGAGGAGAGAGGGGAAGGAGGGGGAAGGAGGGAGGAGAGAGGAAGAGGAAGGAGAGGAGGAGGGAGGAGGAGAGGAGGAGAAAGAGAGGAAGAGGAAGGAGGAGAGAGAAGGAGGAGGGAGGAAGAGGGAGGAGAGAGGAGAGGAAGAGGAAGGAGGAGAGGAGGAGGGAGAGAGGAGGAAAAAGGAGAGAGGAAGAGGAAGGAGGAGGAGAAGGGAGGAGGAGAGAGGAGGAGGAGAAAGGAGAGAGGGTAAGGAGGGGGAAGGAGGAGGAGGAGGGAGGAGGAAAGAGGAGGAGGAGGAGGAGGGACACCCAGGATGGCACCCCCACCTCCCCTCACACTGCAGTCCCTGGGAGACGGACAGGGGCTGCACTGGCTTCCCTTGGTGTCTCAGGCTGGCATTTTACTGACAGGCTGGGCTGCTGGGATTTGAGCCCTGGACATATGGATGCAGAACGATTGATCTTACTCAGTAAGCAGTGAGGGGCAGGGGCAGTGGGAGACCTGAGAACTGTCTGGGAGAACTAGGGCAGAGGGGAGGGGGCAGCACATAACAACACTGTTAGGACCAACATTTGTGAAAGACTTAGGAGCTCTGGTCAATGACCCTCACGGCCACAACTCCAGAGAGGTGAGGAGTGTAAACTCCCCAAGGGCAGGGACTGCCTTTGCCTCTCTTTGTATCCTTAGGGCTTACCAGGGAAGGTGCTTAAGAAGCAGGTTTAGTGACTGAATGGCTGGGGGGGGGGCAGGAGACAGGCTGCTTGGACTTGGCCAAAGTGGGAATTTGTTTTGCTTAATTATGCAAATCTGTTATAAGGGACTTGTTTTTCTTTTTCAATTGAGGAGGGGGAGGTGGAGGGAAAGTGAATTGTTAATTCAAAAGAATGATTTGTTTGAAAGGGGGGGGGACGTGACAGCTGAATCCAAGTATTTGAAGGATGCTCTGTGGGAGACAGACTGGACTTGTTCCGTTCTGGCCCCGGAGGGAAGAACAGGAAGCAGTGGGAGGAGTTACAAACTGGTGGTGAAGAAATCTTCCCACCAACAGAATGCACTGAAGCGGACGAGCTCCCTAACAGACAGGAAGCAGAGGAGGAATGACCCCGTGTCAGATACCTTCCTGGGGATTTTTTTTTTTCCGAATTTGGGCTGGATTACATAGCCCCTGAGGTCCCTTCCAATTGTAGAATTCTGTGACTAGAATTAGCACTAGAGAAATAAAGATTTGTGCTTTGTTTTAAAGGAATACAATATAGCAGACTATGATAAGCCAGATTTACCACTATTACTTTGAATGTAGATGGATTAAATTGTCTTCTGAGAAGAAAAACTACCGATTCAGAGGCAGGAGTCTCTCCAAAAGAGAGGAACTCTTTAGACGCTGGGAATGAAAGCCATCATCCACCTGGGCCACCCCCCGGGGAGCAGCAGAAGCCAAGTATGCCAAGGAGAGCATCCTCTCACCCCAAGCTTGTAGCCGGCAAGTAATTTCCAGCTTTCCCCGGTCATTTGATAGAAGCGTTCTTCCTGTTTTCTCAGTTTCACTTCCTGGCGAGGTTTCAAGACATTCTTCAGGTATGCACTGCTCTGTTCACAAAAAGCAATGATGTGACAAACATGGAAATATGTTTAAAATGATTGCACATGTATAGCCTGTATCAGATCGCATGCTGTCTTGGGAAGGGAGAAAAAAATTTATAACTGTCTTATAAAAGTGAATGTTGAAAACTATCTTTGCGTGTAATTGGAAAAAATAAAATATTATTAAGTGGGGAAAAAATGAAAAAGAACAGCCTCAGACACCTGACACTTCTAGCTGTGTGACCCTGGGCAAGTCACTTAACCCCGACTGCCTCACCAAAAAGCAAAAAAGAAAAAGAAGATGGGTATAATAATAGCCAAAAAAAAAAAAGGCAATGATGGGTGGTGAATCTAGCCTGGTGCCCCTGGATCTCCAGGCCCTCCATGGGGTCTCCCCCACTCCTTCCTCATGCAGACAAGAGGTTAAGACTTATAAGGCATGGGCTTCCTGCACACTTCAGCCCCCTCCCACTGTTCTTTTTTCTCTACCACTAACATCACCTGCCCCTCATGTTCAAAGAAAAGTCCTGACTTGACTTCTGCGCCGACACCTGCATATCCTTCCCTGTGCTCTGGACAGTCTGACGGCCTGCGTAGTCTGTGAACCTCAGGGCAGGACCTTGGCCAGACTAGTGACCTTGATGGGCTGGGAGGAGAGCAAAATCACTGCTGTCTTCTTGTTTACTCCTGACTGCAGCATGAGGCAGTGATGCATCCCTGGGGTTCATTTTTGAAACATCCGCCTCCTCCCCCTAACCCTGTGAGCAACGATCATCCTCCGGCCAAGGACAAAGCAGGGCCTGGGAGAGAACAAACAGGGCCCTGAGCTGAAGATGAGAAGCAGCAGTATCAGGCCCTTAGGATGGGAAAGGCCCAGTGCCATGTGATGGGGATACAAACACAGCAGAGAGAAGACCGGGCCTGGCCTCAGGCATTCCCAGCCGGGGAGCACGGGCTGGGGGCTGGCTTTGAGGTCTGGAGGCCAGGAAGAGGACCAGCAGGGGAGGGAGGGCCGCGGCCTCAACACGAGCCTCACCCACAGAGGACACGCAGCACGAGTGGGAGCAAAGGAGGGATGCCATTTTCTCTTCTCTTTTAAAATGAAAACTATATAAGAGAAGGGAGGGAGAGATAGACGAGAGGGCCGACTAGGAGAAGGGCTATTCAGAGTGCATGCCATCAGGGGCAGCTAGGTGGCGCAGTGGATAGAGCACCGGCCCTGAAGTCAGGAGGACCTGAATTCAAATCCGGCCTCAGACCAAACACTTGACACTTACTAGCTGTGTGACCCTGGGCAAGTCACTTAACCCCAATTGCCTAAAAGCAAAAAAAAAAAAAAACCAACAACAACAACAGAATGCATGCCATCTTGGGTTGGAGGAGGGACAAGATGGGGAGAAAATTTGGAACTCAAAATCTTGTGGAAGTAGATGTTGAAAACTAAAAATAAATAAATTTATATTAAAAATTAAATAAAATAAAATGAAAACTATATTCCCCAAAGAAACAAGTTCAGCGAGTGTCCAAAATATGGAGTGCCCTTCAGCCAGCTGAGCGACTGCCCTCACAGACAGTCTGGGGAGGGGCTGAACTGAGGGCCGCCTTTGGTGGGGCCCACTTTCATCCTCCCGGCCCCCGGGGCCAAGCTCGGTCTCCAGGCAGGGAGTCTCACCCGGGCTCCCTGCACTCATCAGCCAGCTGCAAGGTGCCCTCCCATGCCCGCAGCATCCCACACAGCACCGGGGACAGGCCTGTGTGCCAGCAGCCTCTGCAAAGCCCTCGGGGAAGGAAAGCTCACCTGGATGCTCAGGGTCTCCTGCTGCTCTTCCCTCACTCGTTTCTGCCTTCTTTTGTTCTCATCTTCGGTTACTAAGACAACAAACACAGGAGAGCTTTTTCACCCCCTAATCACCAACCAGAAATGCAGCTCAGAAAAGAAACGCCCAGAACAAAGTGCAGGGAGCTGCCGGCCTCAGGGAAGCCAGGACCCAGGCCTAGCGGGGAGGTGTCTCTGCCCCGAGGGACAGCTCCCCCTAGAAACGCAGGGATGCTGGCCCTGAGGGCCACGTACTAGCTGTGGGACCCTGGACAAGTCACCTGGGTTCTGTCTGCCCAAGCTACTTCATCTGTAAAACAGGGATCAGAACAGCCCTTCCCTCCCTCCCAGGATCAAGGGAGATGACATCTATAAGGCATTCTGCAAACCTTAAACTGCTCTAGAAGTGGGCACGATTCTTACCATTATAGACACATGCCCGTTGACTGACTGCCAAGGGGAGGCCAGCCCTGGGACACAATCTTTCATAGTTCTCTGGACCCCAGATCCAGAGCCGGCAGAGACCCCTCTCTTACAGGAGAGGAAACTGAGGCCCGAGGAGAATTAGCGACTTGTGCAGGCTCCTCAGGCCTGAGCCCAGCCTTGCCGACCATAAGGCCAGTGACCTTGAGTGCCCTGCCCTTGTATGAGACTGTGCATGGCGGAGATGGGGACTTCCCTAGGCTGGGCTGGAGGAAAGCCCCGAAATCCCCCAGCCATGACAGTAAGTGGAAAGGCCTGGCCTGGGATCCCCACGGAGCCTCCTCCTCCGAGCCCTCATTCAGGGACTGTGGAGACGTGGTGCTACAAGGGCCCCATGTAAACAGACCTCCCCACTGCAGTTAACTGGGGTCTGGTGGGCCGGGGCCTGAGAGACCTCACAAGCACCTCATTCAGCCCTCGTGGTACAGAATCAGCTAGGGTCAGGAGAGGAGAAATGACCTGTCCAAGGGCGCATCATCAGTGAATGGTGAAACTGGGCAGTGGGAGCAGCCCCTGGGGTGCCCCCGGCGGCCCCCTCCCCCACCCTGCTGGGCCCGCACAGGCCTCCAGCCCCCTTCCCTGCCTGTGCCTGCCCTCGGGCCCCACCTGCCCTTCATAGCAGACCCTGGAGGCCAGGGGCCAGGCCTATGGCCAGCTGAGTAGCGGCTCTATGTGTGTAATCTGTCGGCATTAACTGGCCTCTCCTGCTCACCAGCCTGGAGGTTTCTTCACAACAAAGCTGGGAAGGCAGGTAGGACAACTGTTACTGCCACCGCTTTGGAGTGGAGTGACCTAGCCCAGATCCCACGAGAACTGTCCAAGCTGTGACTATGCCTGGGTCTCCAGACACTTCTCTCGCCCTGACGCTGCCCTCTGTGGTTGGAGGCAGTCAGAATGGACACATCCCTGTTCCTCAGGGGGAGCCCCCGAAGTTTCCTGAGGAAGGGGGGACGGATAAGAAGAAAACAGTGTGTAAGGAAGGTGAGCCAGGCAGCAACTCACCAGACTGAGCAGGGAGGAAGATGTGTCCAGTGAGGATGAAACTTCTTCCGTCTAGGTGGGAGGTGATGAGGCTGGTCATACAGGCCATAAGAAGAGAGCTGGATTTGAGAAACAAGGCGGGGAGACTTCCCCAAGAACCCTGGATGCCTGCCTGGAGGAGGGGCAGGAGAGGGAAGGCTCCAACATGGCCCTGTGCGACAGCAGCAGCTCTATGTACAGAAGAGTGGGCGGGGGTACAGCTGGCAGGACATCTGGCCCTGGCAGCCAGAGACAAAGGATCAAGGGAGCTCAGGGGGCACGGCGCACCTGGGTGGGGCTGGGAGGTTGAGGGGCGAGGAGGATGTTGTGGCTGGGGCTCTGGGAGCGGATGAGATCTCTGAACACAAGGGTATGGAGAAGGCCGAACTGAACAGCGGGGATGTTCCTGGTGGGTGCGAGGACGAAGACCCTCTGAAGGAGACAGAAGAATGACCAGGAGAGGAGAGCAAGTCTCCTCGGCTAGTGAAGCCTTCTCGTCCCTGAGGACTTGGTGCCGGGACGTCTCCCCTGATGCCTGCAGCCGGCCTGCACAGAGGCGTCTGTTCTCATCCCAAAGCGATGGTAGCGCCACATGCTGAAAGGGTAGCCGGCCTGGGCCGTGCTTCCCGCCCTGGGGCTCCTGAACTGCAGTCTGCCTCCTGGCTTCCTTCGAGGCTCGGCTTGAGGCTCCCACCTTCTGTGGGAGCAACTCCAAAGCCTCCGTGGTGAATGTCTCCCATCTGTCCTGTGTGCCTCTGGCAGGTGCTTAATACACGCCAGCTGATCAACTGTATTTTAATATAATTGGTTTCCCTTGGGATCCTATGAATGTATAACATTCTGTGTGTGTGTGTGTGTGTGTGTGCACGCGCGTGTGTTTTAGGCAGTTGGGGTTAAGTGACTTGCCCAGGGTCACACACCTAGTAAGTGCCAAGTGTTTGGTTGGAGGCCGGATTTGAACTCGGGTCTTCCTGACTTCAGGGCCGGTGCTCTATCCACTATGCCACCTAGCTGCCCCTATAACATTCTTCTAAGAAGGGGTCAGAAGCATCACCCTGGCTGCCCAAGCGGCCAAGACCCCAAACAGACAAGAACCTTGATTTTAAACCAGTCGAGGACCTTTCAGACATACATTTTAAGCTCTCCAGGGGAACTAAACAAGTAAGCAGAAGACCAGAACGCCTGGGGGGGCCAGGAGAGGAAGGCGGCCGTGACCCCCGCAGCGGCGAAGGGCGATGGGGCCCGCCTGGATGGGCCCCGCCTGGATGGGCCCCAGGGAGGCCTGGCCTTCCCGCCCCCCTGCCATCTGCTCCTGTCACAGCCTTCACATACCAGTGTGGTTTCCCCAAGGGCTTCCCTCCTGGCAGGAGAAGGTGGAATAGACGTGGCGGGCCCACACGGACAACCCTTCCGGGGCCTGGTACCCTCCTGTCCATTCCCCTTACTCCCGAGTCTCCAGATGCGCAGCTCCGAAACAACAGCCGGGCAGAAGAGAAGGCAGAGCTCGGCTCGCGGGATGGAGATGAAGGCTGAAGAAGAGACGAGTCCCGAGTTCTAATCTGTCCCTACTTGTAGCCGGCCGAGTGAGAGGCGACACCACGCGAGCCGCCTCCTTTATTTCTCTGTGTCCTCTGCACAACGAGTGGGGTGGCGTGGCCATGACCGGCTCAGGGAAGGGGAGAGCGCAGCTTCAGTGGCCACTGTGCACTGGAGAAATCTGGTGCCCGAGCCAGGGAACCAGCCCGGGCACTGACACTCTGCAGCGCCTTCCACTCCACTGTCTCTAATTTTATTCTGAGCTGGCGCGCCACATCACAATGGTATTTTCATCTCTCCGGCAGGACGGAAGAGGAAGGCTGCACACGAAGCTCTGAGGCCCACGGGGTGCCGACGGCCTTCTACGGCCGGGTGACATCTCAATCACCTGTCACTGGCAGCGAACGTAGCGTGTCTGGTTTCTGAAAGCTGGGAGTGCTTGGCAGCTGCTGCAGGGCCCTGAGGCCATGGCAGGCTGCTGCCGGTTAGCTGCCAGTGGGACGGCTTGGTGCCGCTCCTTGGGCTCAGAGCACACTGCCATGGCCAGCCTGAAGGATGTCAGCAGTGGGAAGTCCCCGGTCCTGGGTTCAAGTCTTCTCTCTGACGGGGGAGGCGCTGGCAGAGCAGTAGGAGGCAACAGAATGAAGGAAGGAGGGGTGAAAATGACTGGAGCGGCTATCGAAGGAAGAAGAGGGCAGTGTGAGGCTTGATTCCCGTGTTCCCGTGGGTTGATCACTCCCCTGGGGCTAGGTCAGGGGGCCGCACTTTGGAGACCCTCTTCTCACCACGGCGTCACCGGATCCGACTCAGCCATCCCGTGGGTGAGCGATCCTTCCCGGCTTTGGGTTATCGCCATCTGCGCCTCTATCCAAGTCATGGAGGAAAATGCTTAAGCTAGGAACAGACCCCCAGGGCCCTCCAGCAGAGACCTCCCACCATTCTGGCACTGAAACACAAAGGACTACCCTGATTCCAGTCCGTCGGCTAGCTCCTGATCCATCGTCATCTGGTCCACATCCCTAGCTCTTCCACCAGAACAGAATGAGCTTCTTCATCAAAGAAGGCTTTGTAGAAAGAATGACGGGTGCCCAGGCGGGCAAGAGATCTCTGAGAGCGACTGACTGAATTGATTAGAGATGTGAAAAGAAGAGCAAACCATACAGATGGAGACCTACACATGTACAGTCCTCTTTTTCTGTTTTATTTACACGAAATGCCAATTTTATCGGGCGTTCGAATGCAAAATAGAGCAAATTCAAATGAATAAACCCGAAGCAAACTTTATCCGTGGCATTCCTTGCATACACTACCTTAGTAAGCCGAACCAAGGTGAGTCTGGTAGGACGTGGTCTTGAGGAAGCCTTAGTAACTTCCCATGACGGCAACGAACTCTACAGAATGATACACTTTCCAATTTTCCAAGAATCAAAGCTAACTTAGTGGCCCATGGTTTTCAGACTCTGTTCCCTTTTTTAACAATGGGTACAACATTGTCCCGTCTCCCTGGTGATGGCCTCTCCCACTTCCCAGGATTTCTCCAATGTCCCGGGCAGGGGCGCTGCCCTTCCATCTGCCCACCCCTTCGGGTATGAGGGATGTCATTCCTGAGCAGGGGCCTGAATTCACCCAGGCCAGCCGAGAGCTCTCTGACTGCCCCCTCTCTTCCCTCGAGCGTGCTGGTTTTTCCGTGTCTAGTCCGAAGCTCGTTCTAGGAGCGAGCAGCAGCTCATCCCGCCTCGATGGTGTCCCTGTCCCTACGTTGAGCCTCCTCTTTCTGCCAGCAGAGCTGAAAGGACCCCTGGGCTCCTCCGGCCTCAGCATCCCTGACACCGCAATTACAGGACCACAGCATGCGGTCTTAGTGACATCATCTGCGACTTTCCCTTGCCTCCGTCTTCCGTTTCCCTTTTCAAACCCAGCCAGTCACGTAGCTTAGAAAGGCAGTAAATTAGCCAGCATTCGAGGATGGACTGGTTACTGATTTTTCTTGTGAACTCCACACTGACCTTCACAAACATTCCAATATACAAACGACAAAGAAAAAGAGGTTTTTAAAGAAGATCAGCAGCCAGGCGGCACAACGAATAGAGGGCAGGGCTTGGAATGTGAAAGAGCTGAGTTCAAATCCCACCTCAAACACTTGCAAGTGGTGCGACCCTGGGCCAGCCCCTTCGCCTCTGTCTGCCTCAGTTTCCTCATCGGTAAAATGGGGGTCACAACAGCCCCTCCCTCCCAGGCTCGTTGTGGGGATCAAGTGAGATAGCATTTGCAAAGCACTTCGTAAAGCCCTCTAGAACAGCTGAGCGCTACTGGAAACGCCTGCATTCCTATGAAGGGCATATTAAATTTAACAAGGGCACCAACATGCCCAGCTTCTCTGCGTCCCTTTCTAAACTCTGCTACTCTCTTCTGTGTATGCATTTGTTTTTCTGTTTTATTAATTTATTTTGATTTATTAATAATCACTTCCATAAGCTTTTGAGTTTAAAATTTTTCTCCCTCCCCAAGACGACGCACAATCTGATACAGGCTCTACATATACATTCCTATTAAACATATTTTCACATTCGTGATGTTGTAAGGAGGAATTAGAACCAATAGGAGGAACCACCAGAAAGAGGAAACAAAACTCAGCAGAAGAAAAAAAAATAGCAGATAGTCTGCTCTGATCTGCATTCAGACTCCATTGTTCTTTCTCTGGATGTGGAGAGCACTTTCCATCGTGAGGCCTTTGGAGACGTCTTAGATCCTCGCATTGCTGAGAAGGGCTGAGTCTGTCAATGTTAGTCATCGCTCAACGTGGCTGTTACTGTGTGCAGCGTTCTCCTGGCTCTGCTCACTTCACTCGGCATCAGACCACACAAGTCTTGTATTTGTGTTTGATAATGATTTCTTTTCAGTTTTCAACATTCACTTCCATAAGATTTCGAGTTATACGTTTCTCCCCTCCCCCCCACGATGGCGCACAGTCTGACACAGACTCTACTTCTCCACTCCTATTCAGCACGTTGTCAGGAACAATTAGAACTGATGGGAGGGATCAAGAATGAAGCGATGAAACAACATGACAGAGAAGGAGCACTCACAGTCTGCTTCCGTCTGCACTCAGATCTGTTTTCCTTTTGAATGGTTCAGCGACAGTCGTCTTTTTTCGCGTGGCTCTCAGCACCCCCCGCTCCCCGCCCCCCAAACAGAGGCCCCTCTTTGGAGTCGGGAAGTGGAATCAAGCGAAGCAAACACACGCGTTGGTTCAGCCATTCCCCAGTCGACAGGCTCCTTCTTTGTTCTTTGCTGCTAAAACTAGTTAGAATGAATGAATGTGATCCCCACCCCCGCAGGGCTTTCTCCCACAGAACTTGAGTCTGTGGGATCCTGTCCCTCTGAACAAACCCTCTGACATCTTCGACATGAAAATCTAAGGACATGGCAGATGAGGCCCAGCTTTCCTCTGCCACCAGCTGGAGAAAGGCCAGGCCACTTCCTCCTCCCACTCCAGCATCAGAGAGGGGGGCGGTGGGGAGGGAGACAGACAGACAGACACACACACACACACACACACACACAATGTTCCGGCAGAGATCTGGATAACTGAAGTTTCTCTTCACAAGCATACTGTGTCTCCAAATTAGGTGCATGCCCTGTTTCCTGACTTTGTCACTTCTTTCTGTCCACAGTTGGCAATCCTCACCGGTGTTGAAATCATTCCTGTTTCTTCACATTCCCTGCTCTGGCTGCGGAGCAGCATCCCTTTTTCCCCTACAGTTCAGCGCCGCCGACCAGGCCTCCTGCTCTGGACAAAGGGCAGTCCAGGCACGTTTCAAGCCCCCGTGGTCACCACGATGCCAACGAGGCCGGACTTGCCCCCTCTGTGTTAGGACCTCTAGTCCTTGCTGGCTGCCTGACCGTCGGGTGCAGACACTTGAGGCCAGGGTCTGGCTCTTGGTACATTTTGGCCTCGGTGTCCGGTGGACGTCTGGGTGTCGTGGCCACTCCACTTCCTTGTTTCTGTTAAGGTGGTGGGGGCGAGGAGGGGCATGCTCTTCCTTATCTCTCCAGCACTCAGCACAGTGCCTGGCACACAGCAAGTGCTTAATCAGTGTTTGCTGACTTCTCTCGACTCCCTACAATACCTGGCTGAGCCGTGTTCCCTCTCCTTCATGGTTTAAGCCTTTCTCAAGAGACTGACCAGACAGCGGCCAACACACTCTCCCCCACCCTGCCTAAGTGCCTGCTCTCCCCGACCAAGAGCTGTTCATCCCTGCACTTTAGGCCGGGTCCAGAAGCCCCAGTTCCCTTCTTAAACAGGGCTTACTTCCTCTTCTGCATTCCTGGCCCTTCCCAGGTCCCGCCCCACCTCGGTCTTCACTTTCTCGCCCAAGGCTTCCTAACCTTTGACCACACCCTGACATGCCTTCTTAGTGTCATGTGGGAAGTATGAAGCTGGCCTTGTCACAATGTGCATCATCCATGATCTGTCTCAAGATGGGCCCTGTGGAAAATGGCAGTGCCTTCCTTTCACTGCACGGTTCCCAGCTTCTACTGGCCACGCTTCTTACCTCACAGCATGGCATCCCCAAGGTTAGAATGGGGAGGGATGATATGGTCCCACCCACACATCTCCTAAGATAAAGAGACGGCAGCCCAGAGAGCGTCGGAAAATTGCTGCCTGCGGTCACCGGGTAGCAGAGAAACTGTATGGAGCACATACCGGGACAAGACAGAGAATGAGAAATCCCAAATGGAGCGTTATCACAGGGCATTAGCTTACCTGTCAAACACACTTTGGATGGAGCTTGAGATGTGAGCCATGGGGTGGTCATCAAAATAATCAGAGTCAGGATAGCAAGAAACAGCAAACCCCGGCCGCCCAGCAAAGCGATATCCTTCCATCCTGATGAGAAGAAAAGAGCATAAGAACAGCACAGAGGCCACGGGATCCAGCCACTAACACGTCGCTGACAGACTTGGGAGAGGCTGCTTCTCTTGAGTGGTGAGGGCAGAGGCAGAAAAGGAGGAGGAGGCGATCAAGTGGAGAAGACAAGGGGGGATGGCTTTTTCTTAGGAGTCTGGCAAGGGAAGGAGTGAGAGCTCATGCAGGGGAGCTAGCGGGGGCAGTCTTAAATCTGCTTCTGAGTCATGTCTGGCTAAGAATTCCCCTGCACCCACAATTAGGAAAGATCCCAACCTGATGCACAGGAGTCTCTGCCTTAACAATACGACTGCGACCTCTGGACCGTCGACACCCGGCCCATCTCCTTTGGCAGGCACTGCCAGGTGCTACTCTGACCACCGTTACCTAGTGGCAACTGCCCTGGCATGTCCTTTTCTTTCTTCCTTTTTTTATTAATTTATTTTGATTTATCAACAATCACTTCCAGAAGCTTTTGAGTTTAAAATTTTTCTCCCCCTTCCTCTCCACCACCCTCCCCACGACGGCGCACAATCCGATACAGGCTGTACATTTACATTCCTATTAAACATATTTTCACATTAGTGATGTTGCAAATAAGAATCAGAACCAATAGGAGGAACCACCAGAAAGAGCAAACAAAACTCAACAGAAGAGAAAAAAGTTAGTAAATAGTCTGCTTTGCTCTGCGTTCAAACCCCATAGTTCTTTCTTTGGATGTGGACGGCATTTTCCGTCACGAAGCCTTTGGAGATGTCTTAGATCCTTGTATTGCTGGGAAGGGCTAAGTCCATCAGAGACCGTCATCGTACAATGTGGCTGTTATTGTGTTCGAGGTTCTCTTGGTTGTGCTCACTTCACTCAGCGTCAGTGCGGACAAGTCTTTCCAGGTTTTTTCTGAAGTCCGCCTGTTCATCATTTCTTACAGCACAGTAGTATTCCACTACATTCATATACCACAACTTGCTCAGCCATTCCCCAACGGATGGGCATCCTCTCCATGTCCAATTCTTTGCCTGGCACGTTCTTGACAACATCCCAGAAGGGGTCCAGCCGGACGCACTCTGAGGACGGGGCGTGGTGACTGACCTGTCCCATGACTGGTGGAGCTGAGCTCTTGCTACGGCCACGAGAGGATCCATTTTCTGACCACCAGCAACTTTCATGGACCGTCTACTAAATGAAAGAGCAGCAATCACTAAGGGAGGTGGGGGGAGCTCCCTGGGTCATACGTGGGTCTCGAGTTCCAGGAGGGAGCAGGGCCTGACGGGTGGGGCGGACGCAGGGCCCCTTGCTGGAGGTGCAACTCTGACTTTTCTAGACCTATTCTTGAAACTGTAGCAATGGCGCCAGTCTGAGGCAGCTGCTTCTCCAAATCTAGTGTGGCAAGGAAGGGAGAGAGAGGCAATCTCTTCCCAAAGCCATGAAGCCCCGCCCCTCTAAGGCGAGGGAAACACACCTGGCCCAGGGAAAGTGGGAAGGGGAGGGACCGGTGGGGATCCAGCGGATTCCACCAGTGGCAAACGATGGATTCCGGTATGTAAATGAGGCGCCACTTCCAAATGTCAAGCCAAACAGATACATCCGAAACTACTCAGTGCAAAGTAAACAGGCACTACGTCAAGTTTACCAAAGCCAGAAAACGGGCAACATTTCCACCTTGGAAATACAAGGGCAGATTGGGGTCTCGATCTGGAAAGGGGGACAGCGTAGCCCAGAGCTTTGCTTCTCTGTGCCTCAATGCCACGAGATGGGAAGCTCGGACACCTCTTTCTCAAAGTCCCGAGGAACCTGTCCAGGTTTCCTGGTAAATCCTCTTCATGCTTCCGCAGGACTAATTTACTGCCTCCCAAATCCAGACAAGTTTTAGAACACAAAGTCATCCCTGCTCCTCAGATCTACGTTGTTTCCTCTGGCTTTGGACCTGACATGTCCTCTCACCCGAGGGTTCCTTTCCAAAGCGCTTCCCGATCTCATGACTGTTTCCTTCCCGTAGCGCCTCTTCTTCTACCTCGTAATTTCTCCACCACTTATGGACTTCTGCTATTACTGCTGTCTTATGTTCTCCCCTGATCTTCCTTCTTCAGTTCTCCTGATTTCCCTTATTGGGGTTTTACTTTTCCCAGGCTAACTGTTGCAGTTTTTAAAAACAAGGAAGGGAAGCTGTATCGAATGACCTCCGTCCTGGCAGAAGTCTCGCCTCCTCTGTTCCGTGTGAGGCAGTCAGGGCTCATGTTTTCCTTCCTCCTCTCCAATGTCACTGAATTCTAAGCCTGCCTCCACTAGCCCTTGATAAGCCCTGGTAAGACAGTCATTAGCGCTCCTCAGCATAGGTCCCAATAGGCAGGAGCCTAATTCACATTAGAGCTCTGCACCATCATTGGGAGTGCTTAACCTGGAACCTGCGGACTTGACTTTCTAATATTTTGATAGATGTATTTCAACACGGTTGCTTCCCTTTGTATGCACTTTATTTTATGGACTTCAAAATACTGTTTTGAAAAGGGGTCCATAAGCTTCACCAGACTGCCAAAGCATTCCAGGACCCAAACAAGGATGAAAAACCCCTGGTCTAGACCGCAGGTAGCAAACCTGGGGTCAGTGCAGCCCCAACAAGATTAACGTGTTGTTGGGAAACCACGTGAAGAAATTATCCAAGTCACAAGTTACTAAGAGAAATGCAAATCAAAACAACCCTGAGGTTTCACCTTACACTCTGAAAGATGACAGACTAGATGGCAACAGTCCACGTTGGAGGCATTATGAAAGGACACGCACACTGATACGTTGTTGGTGGAGCTGAGAGGTACCACCATATTGCAAGACATTTCGGAATGACACCTGTCTATACCCTGTCATGGGTGTTGCCGTGTCCAGTGACGTGACGGCTGCGATGAGTGCAGAGCAGCAGGGAGAGAGGGATGTACAAGAACTGATGCGGGGTCAGCAGAGTCCCACGGGGAGGGGGGAAATCACCAAGAGCGACTCCGCCCCCTTCCCAGCATGCCTTGCCGTGCGAGAGGGCGTGCAGCATGCTGGGAACTGTAGTTCCCGCAAGGACGGCCTGCGGAAGCCCAGGGGCAGGGAGGGAAAGGCGGAGGGACGCCCGAGGAGGAAGGGAGGGGGCCTTACCTGGGTTGAAGCCCGCGCTCCGTAGCTGCAGGCAGAGCAGGGGCAAGGCCGGGGCGGCTAACAGCAGCCAAGCCGCGCGGGCCACCATGGTGCCTCAGGCCGCGCCCGGAGCGCAAGCGCGGCTCCGCCCCCCGTCCCTCCCCCCCTCCGCCCCGCCCGCTGCCAGCGGGTTGCTACCATCCGGAGAAGGTGGGGAACCCCCGCAGAGGAGGCGTCTGAAGATTACGAATCTGAAAGCCGCAATGACGTTAGTCTGAAATGGGTTTGGCATTTATGTTTTGAGGTTATGTTGCCTTATGAAGACTTTAATCCCCGAAAAGATTTCAATGACCCCCAGCAAACCTAGGCTATGGTAGCGTCCCGAGAGGGAGAGGAGGAGGGAGGAAGGGGAGGGGGGAGGGGCTCGCCGGGTGGGCTGGGCACCGTCTCCTGAGGCCCTCGCCTTGAGTTGCCAGTCGCTCCCGCGTCCCGCAGCTGGCTGCGGGCCCCGAAGGCCCAAGGCGGGCTCCCCCCAAGGGCCGCCTCTGGGTCTAGGATAAGCTGTCCTAGGCTAGACTTTCTAGTCCTCTGCAGCCTGGGCCCAAAGCCCCCTCGAGGCCAGGTTTCTTTCCCATCGCACCCCATCATGCTCGTGTTCTGGTCCTCAGACTCGGGGTGCCGCCTCTAGCGCCCAGTCAGTGCCACAGGGCCTTGCACACAGTAGGACCTTCATACATGACATCCCATATCCCCATGGTGACATCCTTGAGATGTTCCTTAGGGACACGATGGACACAGGGCCCTCGGTGTCCCCAGACGAGCGGTCTGACCAAGCAGGGCACAGATCCCACCCCATGCCGGGACAGCCGGAGGAAAGGCCCCAGGACGCTGGCGCCCTGGGGAGGAGCTGAGATTGGGGGGTCGGGATTCCCTCTGGTCAGGTGTGACCTCGGGCAAACCATGCAGCTGTCGGCAAGTCTGCTGTCTGCACCCACTGCCACGGATCTCAGGGAGCCCACGGCGCGGTGGAGAGAGCGGCTGTGGTCACCCCTTGTGGTGCAGCCCAGGGTGACGGCAACCCTGGCAGTGGGCCGTCCAAGCACTGAAGCAGGGCCAGGGGGAATCCGAGGATTCGCCCTCCAGGACCCGGTGTGGCCCTGAGGCCGCTTCTGGAAGGGGTCTACCCCTGTGCAGCGGGGACCCTCGCTGTTTGTGAATTGGCCTAGGCCGAAGAAGGTTTTGGTAGTGATAATCATTTAAGATCAATTGAGCCCTAATAAGGGCCAAAAACCTGAATTAATCTTTTCTCTTTGAGTGCACTAAAAATACCCCTTCCTGTGTCAGCAACTGTAAGACCAGATGGAACTGACCAGCATTCTTCCTGCTTGTGATTACTAAGGACAGGATACCCAGGACCAGACACTCTCTTGAATGGTGGGACTTTTCTTACCTTGGTATCCTGTGGACATATGTTACATAGGGGAAACACAGATATCCTGGATCTATAATTTCAATTGACACGTTGACATTCTCTCATTTTATTGTATTTGTAATCTATTCAACTAAGAAACTTCCTTTCCCAGGCTATATGTTGAAAAACATATGGAGACTGTATTTTTCAGTAACACAGACATCCTGAGTCAGGGTTTAAAGGTCCTCCAAAAATTGCTTGCTCAGAGTTAAAGCTCTGATTCCCTGTACATGGCTACTTAAGGGAATAAAACAATAGGAGTTTACTTATCACCTAGCTTCTTGTCTCTGTAATCAACTTTCAGGTCGACAGTAGAGTGCTAAGTAAATGCACGAGCACTTATGGAGCACCTACTATGTGCAGCGGGGTCCTGGGCCTGAGACACAAAAAAGAGGAGCCCACCCTCTGGGGGCTTCCATTCTAGGAGCCGCAAAGTGTCCACCACAGAGCCGGAGCACCTCCTTCCCGGTCCCCAGCCCCCTTATCTGCAGGAAATGAGCGTAACAGCCCCCGCAGGAGGCTAGAACCCCAGGCTGGTTCCCCCCTCCAGGCCTCAGTTTCCTCTCGTGTAAAATCAGGAGTCGGAGAAGATGGCAGAGTCCGGAGCTGGACTGCCTTGGAAGTGGTTCCTGGGGATCTACGTGCTGCAGGGACTGGAGGGGCCACGTGCGGGGTGCGCCCCCACCTCGGCTCCCCAGTCTGCAGGGGGCGGGCCGGTCGGGGCGCTGCTGAGTCACGCTGAAGCTGCAGGGCCCCACGGACTTTGCCAGCCCCGCCCCGCCCCCGCTCCGCATCCCCGGGTTCTCTGCGAGCACCAGTTGCACAGCGGCCAGAGCCGACAGACAGACGGCAGCGGCGCGGCAGCACCGGCGTGGGCCTCCGCGTGGCAGCCGGCGTGGCGCGGCGCTGGCCCGGGCTGCTGCGCGCTGCCCAGGCGTCTGGGCGCCGCTGGGCCGCGGCAGGGGGCATGGAGCCCTCGGACTGCTTGGGCTCCGGCCCGGGCTGCGAGCCGGCCGCCACCTACGACTTCCTGGTCATCGGCGGCGGCTCGGGCGGCCTGGCCAGCGCCCGGCGTGCGGCCGAGCTCGGAGCGCGTGCGGCCCTGGTGGAGAGCCACAAGCTGGGGGGCACCTGCGTGAGTATGGGGGGGGGCTCACCTGCCGGGGGGGGCGGGGAGAGGGGTCTCACCTGCGTGAGTACGGGGAAAGGAGGGAGGCTCACCTGTGTGAGGGTGGAGGCGGGGCAGGGGAGGGGCACCCTTGCTGGGCTGGGGGCCTCACCTGGGCAGCCTGCGGTCCCCCATCTGTGGTCTCCCCCTGCCCCAACCTGGGCAACCCGGAGCCTCTCCTGGGTTGGGGGACCTTCCAGTGCTCAGTCAGCCCCCCATCTTCTAGACCCAGCAACAGCCCCTCCTTTCAGAGTCTCCCTTTTGTTTCTGTCTGACACCCCTGGAGGCCCCAGACCCGACCTGCGGTAGGGGTGGGGCAGGGGCTCTGAGCATCCTTAGTTGCTGTCCCCATTGCATAGATGACCGAGGCTGGGGAGCTGAGATGGCTGGGGCAGACTGAATGGGGGGAAGGTTTGCACAAATGGGTAACATGAGGGGGAAAGGCCTCTAGCAGCGGGAGGTGAGCGAATGGAGTGTGCAGCAGCCCAACAAATGACTTCAGGATCCTGGAGGGGGAAACTGAGGCTCCAGGGTGGTGAGCATCCTGCCCAAGCTTCCACCAGGGCTAGTGGCAGAGGCGAGACTAGAACCCGGGTCCTCTGACTCCAAAGCCAAGGCCATCTCCACTGGGCTACCCTTTCTTCCTGGAAGGAAGGTGCTGCCCTACTGATTGCCCCCCCCAGTATCCCCATTTTACAGAGGAGTAAACAAAGGCAGAGCCATGAAGTGCCTTGCCCAGGGTCCTAAGTGGTGCTCACAGCATTGGACTGGCCAACATTTTAAAGATTTTAAGGTAGGAAGGGGTGTGGCTTAGAGGCCATCTGAGGGTCACACGGCTAGTAAGTGTCTGGAGCCGCATTTGAAATCGGTCTTCCTGACTCGAGGCCCAGCGTCCTATCAGCTGTGCCACCTCTTAAATGTCTCCCTATGGCACATAGTAGGTGCTTAATGAATGTTTATTGACTGACTGACTTGAACACGGGCCTACTGTCACTAAATCCAGGCCTGTTTCTGCCACATGACTCCGTGCCCTCTTTTTTTTTCTTAAATTTTATCTATTTTTGATTCACCAGACTTATTTTCTCTCCTTCCCATCTCCCCTCCTGCGGGGTGTGGGAGGGGGAGGAAAGCTAACCTCTTGTGACAAATGTTCATCACCCCCCAAAGCAAATCCCCTGTGTCCAGGCCCAAATCCTTGCTGCCTGCCCTGGCCAGAGTGGCCTGGGTCCAGGGGCACCCTTTGTGCCTGCCCCAGTGAGCTTGAGGTGCAGGGTCCTTCCTGTTCCCTGTGCCGCAGAGCGCCGCTCTCTGCATGGCCTGCGTTGGGCACTGTGCCGGGTACGTGACAGGTCCTTCACAGAAGCTTAGTGAAGGTCGGCAGGCTGACTTACCGACGTGCTGCTCCCCACAGCAGCCTGGTCTTCCAGACCTCCCCTGGGACATCGCCTGTCCCTGCCCGTTGTGTGGCAATGCCAAACTGCAGCTGGCTGGCTGCCGTCTCGATCCACTCTTCCCCTCCTTCCTCGGTGCACCTGGCCCTGTCTTGGGACAGCTCCTTCCTCTGAGTGGGACCAGAGGAGCCTCGAAGATCACCCAGCCCGACATCATGTTTTGTTGTTCAGTCGTCCAGCTTTCCCTGACCCCACTTGGGGTTTTCTTGGCAAAGATGCCCTTTCCTTCTCCCCCTGTTTTACAGATGAGGAAACTGAGGCAGACAGGGTTAAGTGACTTGCCCAGGGTCACACAGCTGAGGCTGGATTTGAACTCGGGCCTTCCTGACTCTAGGTCCAGCACTCTACCCATGAAGCCACTTAGCGGCAGCCTCATTTTACAGATGAGCGCACTGAGGCCAGAAGGGGTGGTGTAGACTGTGGGTTCTAATGTTGGCTGAGCCTGGCAGATTTGGGTTTGATCCCAGCTCGGCTGTTTTCCCGTGTGACCTTGGGCAGGTCCCTGCCCCTCCCTGGACCTCAGTTTCCTCTTCTATAAAATGAGAGAAGTCGTTTGAGATGACCTCCGAGGTCCTTCCAGCCCTAGTCAGGCCAAGCAGTTGCCTCCCTGGTGGGACGATCCCTGCAGAGGCCGGGTGTCTGCCAAAGTCAGGAGTGAGAAGGAGAGACTGGCATGGGCATTCTGGTGGGCCCAGGGTGCAGGCCGGCTTGGAGCCGCGCTGTGGTGGAGAAGGACGCGTAATGTGAATGGGGAAAGGTTTGGCAGGAGCCAGGGAGGATGACCTGCGGCAGGCAGAGAAGGGTTGAGAGAGAGAGGGAGGTGATGACCCCTCTGGACTCTGCCCTCACCTGCGGCGTTGTGCCCGTTATGGGCTGCCTGGCTCGAGGAGGATGCTGGTCAGCTGCCGAGTAGCCAGGAGGGGCGATCAGCATGGGGAAGGGCCTGGAGTGTGTGCCACAGGAAGGAAGGTCGAAGGAAGTGGGGATCCCAGAAAAGGCAAACCTCAGGGGACGGGAGAGCTTTCTTCCAGCCCCGAAGGGCTGTCGGCCTCTGGGGGCTCGGCCCCAGCAGGCAGAGCCCGGAGCAGCCGCAGGGCTGCTGGGTGCCAGGGAAGCCCTCTGTTGGTTCTGCCCATCTCCTTGGGTTTCTCCAAAACCGTGCCCTGCATCGTTTCTTAGTAGTAGTTGATTTTTCTGAGACAATTTGTGGCATCCGCTTTTTATAAAATTTTGCATTCCAGACTTTCCCCCACCTCCCTAGGATGGCAGGCGATGTGATATAGGTTACATATGTGTGATCACGTAAAGGCCATGTCCACATTAGCCGTGTTGTGACAGCAGAAACATTGCCTGTATCATTTCTTACAGCACCCCAGTGGTCTGTCACCACCGGTTCAGCCGTTCCCCAAGAAATGGGCGTCCCCCCTCCATTTCCAGTTGTTTGCCGCCACAGAAAGAGCTGCTGTAAATATTTTTGTACCCGGGGCTGCCTCTTTCTTTGCTCTCTTTGGGGTGTAGGCGTAGTGGTGGTGTCTCCTGGTCCCAGGGCATACAGGTTAGTGACTTTTGGCCCGCTTCCACATTATTTTTTTCTCTTTTCTCCCCCCCCTTATTTATTTATTGTGAGGCAATTGGGGTTAAGTGACTTGCCCAGAGTCACACATCTAGTGAGTGTTATGTGTCTGAGGCCGGATTTGAACTCGAATCTTTCTGACTCCAGGGCTGGTGCTGTATCCACTGCCCTACCTAGCTGCCCCCCACTTCCACATTCTTTTCCAGAATGGCTGGTCCCTTCCAACCCTCAAATTCTGGGACTTACACCAAAGGCCAGGATGCCCAATGGACATGTTTGAGGAAGGTGTGTAGCTTCTTCTGGGCCATCTCCTTGCTTATGTTTCTGGCAGACGAGCCCTCCAGCGTGGATCCCTTCTGTCAGGTGTCTGGACTCGGTGGGCCGACCGTGGCTCGGCCCCTGACTGCCTCACCTTGTTCACTGTGGCAGGCATGCTGTGGGCCCCTTCGCCCCCACCCCTGCTGTGCGTTTGAGGCCTTGGCATCGGGAAGAGGCTTTCCCCCATTCACGGCCCTGTAGGCCCAAGAGGAGCAGGGCCGGGCCCTGCGGGAGGGGCTCCCCTGGAATCACAGACCCTGTCTATTACAGACACGGGGAAGCAGTTATGGCAGAAGAGGCAGGGGGGGAGGTGGCATCGAGAAGACCACTAGATATGGAGGTGGGAGAGTGTAGCGGGGGAGCCTCGCTCAAGGGAGGCTGGGGGCGCCCCCTCCAGAAAGAGGCTTGGAGGGTAAGGTAACATGATAAGAGCTAGGAGGCGATAAAAGCCCTTTGTTGTTGGCCAGTACCCCGTGACTCAGGGTGAAAAATGAGCGGGTAGGACTCTTCCTTTCCTGGTCACTGCTCCAGAATGCGGGTGACCTGGGAGGGAAGAGGTGGCCCCACATAGCTGCTGCCTTGGGCGCCAGTGAGGGCCAGCTGGGGTTTGGGGCATGGTTGGGGGAGGCACCCCCCCTTCAGATGGACGGAGGACAGACTCAGGGGAGGGCTCACGTGCTCTCTGGAGCGTTTCAGAGGTGTGTGGTCACTGACTGCTGGAGGCCCACTGCCCTCTGCCAGGAATTCAAACCGTCGTCTGGAGAGGCTAGCCAGTCTCAGGGCAGTCTGTCGTGCCCAGACCGCTCATACTTGAGTAAATGCCACCTTCCTTCCTTCCTCCCCAGTCTCTCCTCTTCCTCTCCTGGGAACCCCAGGCAGCGACGATTGCTGTTACCCTGGGCCAGCTGTCCCCAGAGCTCTGGTCCCTTGTCTGCTTGGACTCCCAGGGCAGCCTGGCCAGGCCTTCGTGAATAGCACCCCCATGGATTACCGAACATGCCCCTAGCCTGGGCTGCTGCTGGAGTTGGGTGTAAGAACACGTCTGGGTCCTGAAACAATGAGACGGGGGAAATGAGCAGTATTTTAAAGGGAGTGCTGAGCTGGGTGCTGGGAGATACTGAGCCTAAGAAGGAAACGGCCTCTGAGAGTTCTGAACTGGGAGCCACTGCTGTGGCCAGCTTCCCAACTATCTGTTGGGAAACGCGGCCGTGTTGGGACCGTGTGGGTGACATGAAGAGGGTGAGGGTGGCAGCTCCCGTGCCACGAGGGTGGTGAAGAGAGGCTGGGGGACTGGAGACCAGTGAGGGCTTGGGCTAGGGCGAAGGCAGGAAAAACAGAAACGCCAAGTCTGCCAGCATTTATGAAGCACCTACTGTGTACCAGGCATGGTGGTGAGTTCTAAGGACCCAAGACAGGCGAAAGACAGTCCCTACTATGTGCCAGGCACGGTGGTGAGTTCTAAGGACCCAAGACAGGCGAAAGACAGTCCCTACTATGTGCCAGGCACGGTGGTGAGCACTGAGGATACAAGACAGGCGAAAGACAGTCCCTACTATGTGCCAGGCACGGTGGTGAGCACTGAGGACACAAGACAGGCGAAAGACAGTCCCTACTATGTGCCAGGCACGGTGGTGAGCACTGAGGACACAAGACAGGCGAAAGACAGTCCCTACTATGTGCCAGGCACGGTGGTGAGCACTGAGGACACAAGACAGGCGAAAGACAGTCCCTACTATGTGCCAGGCACGGTGGTGAGCACTGAGGACACAAGACAGGCGAAAGACAGTCCCTACTATGTGCCAGGCACGGTGGTGAGCACTGAGGACACAAGACAGGCGAAAGACAGTCCCTACTGTGTGCCAGGCACGGTGGTGAGCACTGAGGACACAAGACAGGCGAAAGACAGTCCCTACTGTGTGCCAGGCACGGTGGTGAGCACTGAGGACACAAGACAGGCGAAAGACAGTCCCTACTGTGTGCCAGGCACGGTGGTGAGCACTGAGGACACAAGACAGGCGAAAGACAGTCCCTACTGTGTGCCAGGCACGGTGGTGAGCACTGAGGACACAAGACAGGCGAAAGACAGTCCCTACTGTGTGCCAGGCACGGTGGTGAGCACTGAGGACACAAGACAGGCGAAAGACAGTCCCTACTGTGTGCCAGGCACGGTGGTGAGCACTGAGGACACAAGACAGGCGAAAGACAGTCCCTACTGTGTGCCAGGCACGGTGGTGAGCACTGAGGACACAAGACAGGCGAAAGACAGTCCCTACTGTGTGCCAGGCACGGTGGTGAGCACTGAGGACACAAGACAGGCGAAAGACAGTCCCTACTGTGTGCCAGGCACGGTGGTGAGCACTGAGGACACAAGACAGGCGAAAGACAGTCCCTACTGTGTGCCAGGCACGGTGGTGAGCACTGAGGACACAAGACAGGCGAAAGACAGTCCCTACTGTGTGCCAGGCACGGTGGTGAGCACTGAGGACACAAGACAGGCGAAAGACAGTCCCTACTGTGTGCCAGGCACGGTGGTGAGCACTGAGGACACAAGACAGGCGAAAGACAGTCTCCAGGAACTCACTGCCTAATGGGGGAGATGAGGTACCAACAACTAGTAGAGACATACACGGGATAAGTTGAAGATGACTTGCAGAGGGACAGCGCTGGAGCTCAGAGGGTTGGGGAGACTTCCTGGAGAAGGTGGTACCTTAGCTGATACTTGAAGGAAGCCAGGAGGCTGAGATAAGGGGGGGGCGGGCGCGTCCCTAACCCCGCGGGGGCAAAGGCCGAGATGGGGGGGTGTCCCTAACCCCAGGGAGCAGAGGCGGAGATGGGGGAGCAGCCCTAACCCCGAGGGGGCAGAGGTCGAGATGGGTGGGGGGCGTCCCTGACCCGGGGACAGAGGCCAAGATTGGGGGGGTGTTTCTAACCCCCGGTGGGGCAGAGGCTGAGATGGGTGGGGGGCGTCCCTCACCTGGGGACAGAGGCTGGGATGAGGGAGTGGCCCTAACCCCGCGGGGGCAAAGGCCGAGATGGGGGGGTGTCCCTAACCCCAGGGAGCAGAGGCGGAGATGGGGGAGCGGCCCTAACCTCGAGGGGGCAGAGGTCGAGATGGGGGGCATCCCTGACCCCAGGGGGGGCAGAGGCCGAGATGGGGGGGTATCCCTGACCCCAGGGGCAGAGGCCGAGATGGGGGGCATCCTTAACCCCGGGGGGCAGAGGCCAAGATTGGGGGGGTGTTTCTAACCCCCCGGTGGGGCAGAGGTTGAGATGGGTGGGGGGCGTCCCTGACCCGGGGACAGAGGCCTAGTTGGGGGGGCATCCCCGACCAACAGGACAGTCAGAAACAATGCCCGGCAAGGCACAAACCACAGTTACAAGTGAAGTGGTAACCTTAGGGCCACATTGGATTGTGGTCAGCAGTTTGGGGGATTTAGTTTTCCGCTTGAAGGGGCCTGGAAAAGAGCACAGGGTCTTGGTCTGTGCACCTTTACCCCTGCGAGCAGGCCGTCCACCCACAGTGAAGCAGATGAAGCCGTGGGGATCTCGACACAGGATCTGGGTTCGAATGTTGGCTTTTCCCCTTCCTGGGTCCCCTCGGACAAGTCCCTGTCCCTAGCTGGACCTCAGTTTCCCTATCTGTAAAGTGAAGGGTTCCTTCTGGCTGTAAACTTGCAGGATTTTCCTTCTATATTTTTAAACCCTAAAACTAGGAGAAATGAAGGATACCTTTGAGAGGCCTTGGAAAGGGACAATTTTCTTCCCCAGGTCACTGAAGTTCCTTTTGTTATGGGATAGGAAGTATTTAACGTTGGACTTAAACATTAGTAATTTATTTAAATAACTATTATAATAAAATAACAAATTAACCACCCCGAGTGACAGCACCTTCTAAAGGGAACGTCAAACCCTCTTTTCCCCAGAACTTTGCCCACACCACATCACTGCCCTCCTTTTTCTCCTGCCAGGACAAACGCCCAGAAGACAGCTACCAGACGGCCCTGTGGTGCGGAGACAGATCCTCTCTTGGGCTGGGGGGAGTGCTGGGGTCTGGGGTCTGGTTTCCTGTCCTGAAACTGTGCATTTTCCCTTTTCAGGTGAATGTCGGATGTGTGCCCAAAAAGGTATTCTTCCTTAACTTATTTGTCTACGAGTGGGGAGGGGGGAGCGGTCTGCCATGGGAAGGGCTGCTGTCCCTCAGAAACAAGTAGGCTCTAAAGCCTGGCTCACACAGAGGTAGTGTGGTGCAGTGGGAGTCAGAGAACCTGGGTTCAAATCCTACTTTCTGCTTGAGTGACCTCGGCATGTCACAGTATCTCCCTGGGCCTCGGGTCTGAGGCCTCTTTCTGCTCTATAGCTAGGATCCTAGGTGTGGCCTTTAGTCAGTTCCTCTGCGTGGGCCTCAGTTTCCCTGCCTGTCCAACGAGGAGGGTAGAGTCGTCGGTCTCCAAGGCCCCTTCCACTAGATCTGGGATGTTAGGATTCTTGGCCTAGGCCTGTAGGAGATGCCCCAAGGTTTTGGTCCTGTCCTGGCCTCAGCCTGCCCCCCAGGGGCCCATTGCTGCATGGTCAGCGAGGCTGTTTTGTCCTGCCGCCTGGTTTGCGGTGGCCCCGGCTCAGTCACTGGGTTGGCATTGTCTCAGGCCTGGAGCCGCTGGGCTCCCGGAGCAGCAGTCGGCCCTGGTGAGCTGCCATCAATCTGGAGAGCACCGAGTCTCCAGGCTAGAATACAGACTTGGCCGTTAATGGCTCGGGGCCAGGCATCCCCTGTGGGGCCTTCCACTTTCTTGCCCTTGGCCTGATGGGCCTTGGAGGTTTCCCTAGCACGGCCACTCTAGAATTCTGGACGTGCTCGTTGCCAGAGGGAGCCTCGGGGCAGCCAGGCATAGCCAGAAAGTGGGCCTTGGAGCAGGAACACCTGTCTCCAGCTCTGTGACTCTGGGCAGCTCCCTCAGTGCCCTGGGCGGCTTTCTGAGACAAGAATTTGCTTAGTCAGGGCACACCCTTTTTCCTGGGGTGGGTCTGATGGGGAGACACATGCACAGACATGGGGCAGCACCCCGTGCCCACTGTTCTCCCCAGCAGGCCTTGTTCTCCCACCTCCCCTCAGATTGCCCGTAAGGAAGCATTGGTGTGAGGTTCTCCAAAACACTCACGGAGACGCCCCTTCTGGACAGGTGCCACGCAGGCAGCAGGGCCCAGCTCAGAGTTGACTTGAGGACATTCTTGGGAGTTGGCAGCTTCCTGGTATTAGGGTGTCCAGGAAGTAGAATCTCCCAGGGGCTTGGGGCCCATTGTCAAGACTTTTCCCTGAACGGTTAATCCCCTTCTTGGGATGTGGACTGAAAAAACAAGCCCAAGCCCTCCGGTGAGAGGGAACGGCCTGCCTTTGTCCTGATCAAGAGTCAGGTGAGGCCAGGAGAGGGAAAGGGACTTGGCCAAGGCCACCCAGGACCCCCGCCTCTCAGTCCAGGTCCCCTGACCAATGATTATAACACCTGTGGAGCATTCTGGAAGAAAAAAGACACAAATCAGCCACATGGTGGAAGGGCCTCTTCATTCCTTAGTCGGTACTCAAAGCTTGGCCCCTGGAGCTTCATGAGGGCAGGTACCTCCTCATTTGTAAAATGAGGACACTGAGGCACTGAGCAGGTAAGGGACTTGGCCAAGGTCACACAGGTGGCAGGTTTCAGAGGCAGGGCCTCATCTGGTTGTCGCACCCTGTCGTGGCATCCTCGTACTGCTGACAAATGCCAGGGCCGTGTGTTTGAATGAACGAAGCCCTCGTGCTCACTGGAGCCTTCACTGGCCACGTGCCATTCCTGAGAATCTGCTGTTTACCTACCCCCAGTGTGACTTGGGGAGTTCACTTCCCGTGCCGGGCCTCAGTGTCCGAGGGCTGCACGGAATGGTGTCTTTCAGCTCCAGAGCGAGGGACAGACGGTTGTCAGAGCCCTCGCCTGTCAGGCCGAAGCAAGGCCCAGCCTCCGCCTGGAGAGCTGGCGATGCAGTTGTTTGCCTGTGAGGCGGGTTCCCTCTCACTGACTGCCTGCTGCTCTCCTGGTGCCTCTCTTCCAGGTCATGTGGAACACCGCGGTCCACTCAGAGTTCATTCACGACCAAGAGGATTATGGTTTCCAGAGCTGTGATGCTAAGTTCAATTGGCGGTGAGTGATGTCACAAAGGGCACGGTCTGGGCAGTCCTGACTGCGGTGAATGTTTGGAACAGAAGCAAGTAGGGGGAGCACACGGCGAGTTCTCCTTCTGCCATTAATTCAGCCCTGGGACACGTGAGCTCCTGGGCTTTGTGCAGGAGAGGCAAGGGGAAAGGCAGTATAGACCCTGCCCTCCAGCGGCGTGCACTCTAAGAAGGGGCTCAGTGAGGCACCTATACTACAGAGCCAAATTGGAGCAGGAGAGGCAGCTTCCAATTGGTGACATCCATGGTTGGAGTCACATCCTCCAAGGAGGAAGGGCGCTGGCGAGGAAGTCACAGTTGTCTTCTGGTGGGCTCTCCTCCCCTGAGCAGATGGGGAGGGTGGTTTCCCTGCCCATGATGGCCATGGGGCCGTTTTGGTTATTGACTGAAATGATTCCAATCTCATTGTAGAGTTATCAAGGAGAAGCGGGATGCCTACATAAGCCGCCTGAACAACATCTATCAAAACAACCTCACCAAGGTCTGTCTGCTGGGATTTCTAGCCATCGGGGCACAAAGTCTTTGTTTTAAAATCTATGTGTTCATTCTTTGAGACTAGGTCTCCCTATCTTGTCCAGCCTGGGAGTATATGCAGGGCTACTCATGGGTCCAGTCCAGTGCTCATCAGTGTAGGGCTTTGTCCTGCTCTGTTTCTGACGTGGGCAACCTGGTGCCCCGCCCCACCTATACACATTTCCAGGGGCTCATCCTATTGGTTATAGGGTAGACACCCTGCCAGCCTGGCTTACTTGAGTTCAGACCTCCAAGCTAAAGAGTTCCTCCAGCCTCAGCCTTCCTGGTAGCTGGGATTACAGGAATGCGTCACAAACAGATTCAGGGTTCTAATTGTGAAGGTTTGGTTAGATTATCTGATTTGTCAGCCTCGTGTGTTCCATCCCACGCTAGCCTTTTTATACCTAGATACACACAGGTCCCTGTTCCAACACTTAAAATAATCTCTGAGTTTCTACCAGTAGATCATCGTCTCTCTTCTTTCCTCGACTTTCTTCTCGCCCCCTGAGGATCAGGGCTCAACCCACATCCCCTCTCTGCTCTTCGATTGCTTTTTTGACTGGAGGCAGCCAGACACCAACCACAAAACCATCTTTATTGCTGAAATGTTGCAGTTTGACAATCATGTTCCTTGGTCAACAGAATCCAGGATTCCTCTCTGTTGGCATTCCATAGATTCTGATAGTCCGCACATTGTCACTTGCTTTCAGCAAGAGGGGGATTTTCTTTTCTTTTCTTTTCTTTTTTGTTTTTTTTTTTTGGCCTCTGCTTTATTTATTTATTTATTTATTTGTTTTTTAGATTTTTTTTTTCCATATGCTTTTGAGTTGAAAATTTTTTCTCCCTTTTTCTCCCCCCACCCTCCCCAAGACGGCACACAATCTGACACAGGCTTTACATTTACACACCCATTAAACATATTTTCACATTAGTGAAGTTGTAAGTAAAAATTAAAACCAATAGGAAGAACCGTCAGAAAGATGAAACAAAATTCAACTTAAGGTAAAAATAAGTGAGAGCGATTTGACTTCCATAGTTCTTTCTTTGGATGTGGACAGCATTTTCCATCCCGAGGCCTCTGGAGATGTCTTAGATCCTCGTAATGCTGAGAAGGGTTCAGTTTAACACTCTTAGTCATTGCATAACGTGGCTGTTACTGTGTACAAAGTCCTCTTGGTTCTGCTCACTTCATTCAGCATCAGACCATACAGGTCTTTCCCGGTTTTTCTGAAGTCAGCCTGTTCATCATTTCTTATAGCACAATAGTATTCCATTACATTCATATACCACAACTTGCTCAGCCATTCCCCAATTGATGGGCATCCTCTCAATTTCCAATTCTTTGCCCACAAAAAGAGCTGCTATCAATATTTTTGTACATGTGGGTCCCTTTCCCATTTGTGTGATCTCTTTGGGATATAGCCCTAGAAGTGCTATTGCTGGATCAAAGGGTATGCACATTTTTGTAGCCCTTTGGGCATAGTTCCAAATTGTTCTCCAAAATGGTTGGATCATTTCACAACTCCACCAACAATGTATTAGTGTTCCAATTTTCCCACATCTCCAACATTTATCATTTTCCTGTTTTGTCATGTTGGCCAATCTGATAGGTGTGATGTGGTACCTCAGAGTTGTTTTGATTTGCATTTCTCTAATCAATAATGATTTAGAGCATTTTTTCATATGACTATAGATGGCTTTAATTTCTTCATCTGAGAACTGTCTGTTCATATCCTTTGACCATTTATCAATTGGGGAATGGCTTGTGTTCTTATAAATTTGTCTTAATTCTCTATATATTTTAGAAATGAGGCCTTTATCAGAGAGACTGGTTGTAAAAATTCTTTCCCAATTTTCTACCTTCCTTCTAATCTTAGTTGTTGGCTTTGTTTGTGCAAAAACTTTTCAATTTAATGTAATCAAAATGATCCATTTTGCTTTTCATAATGTTCTCTATCTCCTGTTTGGTCATGAATTCTTCTGTTCTCCATAGATCTGATAGGTAAACTATTCCTTGTTCTCCCAGTTTACTTATGGTATCAGCCTTTATATCTAAGTCATGAACCCATTTTGACTTTATTTTGATATGTGGTGTGAGATTTGGGTCTATGCCTAGTTTCTGCCATACTCTTTTCCAGTTTTCCCAGCAGTTTTTTTCAAAGAGTGGGTTCTTATCCCAGAAGCTGGGGTCTTTGGGTTTATCAAATAATAGATTACTATAGTCATTGACTACTGTGTCTTGCATATTTAACCTATTCCACTCACCTCCCTATTTCTTAGCCAGTACCAAGCAGTTTTGATGACTGCTGCTTTATAATACAATTTAAGATCTGGAATTGCTAGGCCACCTTCCCCTGCATTTCTTTTCATTAGTTCCTTTGATATTCTGGACCTTTTGTTTTTCCAAATGAATCTTGTTATTATTTTTTCTAACTCTATAAAATAATTTTTTGGTAGTTTGATTGGTATGGCACTGAATAAGTAAATTAGCTTAGGTAGGATTGTCATTTTTATTATATTAGCTCGGCCTACCCATGAGCAACTGATGTTTTTCCAATTATTTAGATCTGATTTTATTTGTGTGAAAAGTGTTTTGTAATTGTGTTCATAGAGTTCCTGGGTTTGTTTTGGGAGGTAGACTCCTAAATATTTTATAATGTCTACAGTAAGTTTAAATGGGATTTCTCTTTCTATCTCTTGCTGTTGGGCTTTGTTGGTAATATATAGAAATGCTGATGATTTATGTGGGTTTATTTTATAGCCTGCAACTCTGCTAAAGTTGTTTATTATTTCAAGTAGTTTTTTACTTGATTCTCTGGGATTCTCTAAGTATATCATCATGTCATCTGCAAAGAGTGATAGCTTTATTTCTTCTTTGCCTATTCTAATGCCTTCAATTTCTTTTTCTTCTCTTATTGCTAAAGCTAACGTTTCCAGTACAATATTGAATAACAGTGGTGATAATGGACATCCTTGTTTCACCCCAAGAGGGGGATTTTCTTGTGGGATTTTCTGAGCTGTGTGGCATTCAGCTTCTTCTTTCACTTTAATGTATTCCCAGGTCAGCCCTCTCAGCTCTATCCTAGTTGCTTTATCCTCAATTAGGGACTCCTCATGGAGCTTTCTCCTTGCCTGCAGAGTCAGGCCCAGTACGTCAATGGCTTGGGAGTGTATGTTTCCTATTTATGTAATTGTCAGTTACTGAGACGTTCAGCGATAAGGGAGTGAATGAACATTCATCAGGTGAGGCCTTCCCTTCTTCGCCCCCACGTCACCACGGGTCAGAGGCCTCCCAGGGGCCCGCTCCCCTACATGGGGAATTATGGATTGTGATGGTTGGTGAAGGGGGTGATGTTCTCTACTCTAAAGGCGTTTGCCATGGACACCCTTCCTTTCTGGGGGCAGGCCCCTTACCTCCAGTGCTGGAGGTTTAGCTGGGGGCAGCCTGCCCCTCTCTTTGACTCGCCCTGACTTAGGCCCTTCCGTCCATCCCTGCCCTTTTTGTCCCCTTTCTGTCTACCCCAGGGTTGTATGTGCACTGTCTTTACTGACTGCTCACTGGCCAGCTGCCCAAGGGCTGGGAGGGGTAGAGTGGTGGCCTGGGCTGTCCCAGGGATGGTGAGTGGAGCAAGATGGCAGGAGACAGTGCCCAGAGTGAAGTGCATTGTCACGCCTGGAATGCCGTGGGCTGTGAGCTGTCCTTAATTGAATGACAGGCTGTGTAGACCAAGTATGTCCTTGCCTTTCCCCACATGCATAACCAGCCATCTTCTTTTTTCAGTCCCAGATAGAAATCATTCGGGGCCATGCAGCCTTCACAAGTGACCCTGAGCCCACCGTGGAGGTGAATGGGAAGAAATACCGCGCTCCCCACATCCTGATCGCCACGGGGGGTTTCCCAACCCTTCCCAGTGAAGACCAGATCCCTGGTGAGTGTCCAGAGGCCTTGATGCCCCCAGGCTTGTGGGCTCCTCTGCATTCTCCCGACTTATCCCATCAGCAGTGGTTTCCTTAGCTGCCCTCCTTGGGCTGGGGAGGCTGGATGGCTAGCTCATGGCCATGTTGTGTCCCTCCCAAGCTGGGCCTCCTCCAGAGAGCCCTGTGGGGTCACTACTGAGCCAATGTGCCGAGGGCATACCTGGCAGTCCTGAGCTCCAGACGCCCTGGCGTGGTCCAGGGCAGGGAAGGAGGAACATGAGGGAAATTCACTTCATTTGGGACCATGGTCTGGTACAAGTGGGCAGTGTCACGGATGGCAAGGAGGCTGACTCGGGAGTCAGGGAGCCGGGGGTGAATTCCCACTCTGACTCCAGCATGGCCCAGATGGCAGGTCAGATGTCAGCACTTCCCACCACAGTCCTCATCTGAAAGAAGGGGTGATGGTGTTGGCACAGGGGCGCAGTTGTGGGGGAGACACTCTGGGCTGTCTGAGATAGGAGCCACAGAGTGCCCTTTACAAGACTGGCAAGGTGGCCAGAGCTTATGTTAGCAGAAACAAGATTCCTGTTAGAACTTTTCGATTTGCTTACAGTTTGGCTGTCTGGTACAGTGGTACCCGGGGCTGTTAATGCAGAGTTACGGCCTGCACACGGGCCCTTTGGGGTTCCTTGGCACAAAGACGAACGATTCTGATGGGAAGGAAAGGTCGGAGGTGTCCAAGGAGACCGATGTGGACACATAGGGTGCTCATAGGCCAGCGCAGATTTTAAAGAGACAGTATTCAGAAGTCAGAATTGAGGACAGAGGATGAAAGAGTATGGGACAGTCTGTAAGAGGGGTGGGAGGAGCCAAGTGACTGGTTAAAGCTACCTCCTGGGAAAAGTGGAAGCGCCAGAGCCGCCAGCCAGTGTGAACGCCAGCCAGGGCACAGAGCTGCTCGGCTTGCCGAGGTAAGGGCCGTGCTCGCAGGCCTGGAGAGGACGTTGGCACCCAGGAGAAGCGGGGAGTGCTTACACAAACATCCTGCTGCCTGTGGTGAGCTCAGGCGATCGGGCTGGGCATGCTCTGTCCCAGGGCACTGGATGAACCGGATGGTGCTGAGAATGAGGAAGGCTCCAGGCACTGGAAAGGCTCTGGGCTTAAAATCAGGAGGGATGGGGGGGGGGGGAGGTTCTAATTCCTCTTGTGATACTTGTCAGTTTTGTGACTATAGACAAAGCTTGTAACTTTCCTAGACTCACTTTTCCTTATCAGTAAAATGGGCATAAAAAAACAACCTACCCACTACCTCCCAGGATTATGGTGAAATGCAGATTAGCGTTCACACACCTTAAATGGTGTTATTCTAAGCAGCAAGTGAGGGATGGCCCAGATAATTGTTGTCTGATCATGTGACTGCCAAGCCGCTGCCGGTAATGAGTGCGAGATCAGGCAGAAGGGGAGCTGAGCCAAGGGACTGATTTCCTCCAGAGCGAGGGAGCTTTCTGCAGCTTGTAGCTGGCCGCGTCTTCCTCCCAGAGAGTGCGATCTCCAGGCAGAAGGCTCTGCTCCAGGGTGGGTGCCATCCCCTCAGGGGTGGTCTTCGAACCCGGGACTGTGGGAACTCATCTGCAGCCGTCGGCTGGTCTGGATGCCATTGAGGGCCCTTGCAGCTCTGAGATGTGGCAATTCAACATGGTGGCTCATGCGTCAGTGGGGCTGCACGGCCTACAAAGCGCGTTCTTGACGGCTAATCTGTGTGGCTGCTAGAACAGTAATGGGGATGAGGAATGTGGTGATGGGGACGGGGATACAGCCTGCAGTTGTGCAGGCTCCTCCCAGCAGCTGTGAAGCAGGTGTGAAGGGCTTTTACCCATGCTCCCATGGGCAGATTCATCGGCCACCGTGCAGGGGCGTTTACAGGTTTGTCATCCAGCCCCCTCACACACAGAGAAGGAGGGGAGGCCCGGAGGGAGGGAGGAACTTGACCCAGGTTCCATGGAGAGGAGGCGATGGAGCTGAGGTTTGAGCCCAAGGCGGTGAGGCCTCATTGTGGTTCTCTGTGCAGCCTCTGGCCATGATGGAGTTATCTTGGCCTTATTTCACTCTAAATCCCCTCCCCAAAAGGTAGATTTTAATATTATTATTATTATTATTATCATCATTATCATTATTATTTTGTCTTTTGGTGAGGCAGTCAGGGTTAAGTGCCTTGCCCAGGGTCACACAGCTGTAAGGGTCAAGTGTCTGAGGCCGGATTTGAACTCAGGTCCTCCTGACTTCCAAGGCCGGAGCTCTATCCACTGCGCCACTTAGCTGTCCCACATGGTTGATATTTTAAGGGAAACAAAATAGTACAAGTTGTCTGATCAAAGCATTTTTTAAGGAAGTACTATTGATGTTTCCTGCCAGTTACACCAGTCACTTCCCAGCATGCCTGTCGCCTCCCACCACAGTCCCAGCCACGGAGGTCTCCTTCGTAACAAAGACAAGCATGTCGGCCCCATTCCTCGGGGCCACCTCCGCCTTGCCTCTGCCCTGTGGAGTCACCGTGATTTATTCTTTACTTCCCAGGTGCCAGCTTGGGAATGAGCAGCGATGGCTTCTTCGAGCTGGAAGACTTGCCCAGGTAGGCATGAACAAGGGTCCCCCTGCCGGGTGGGGGCGGCACACTGCTCGCTGGTCCCTCGCTCACGAGGGACCCCGGCCCCAGCTGGCTGCTGGCGACCCTCCCCTCTGGAGGACTTCGCGGTTTCTAAGCGAGACTGTTGCCCCCATTTCACAGATGAAGAAACGGAGGCCCAGAGGTCATAGGCCGCTAGATCCAGGGATGGAAGGGCCGTCAGAGGCCAGTCCCTTCATTTTACAAAAGAAGACAAGGGAGGGCAGTGAGTCTTTCACGTCTCACAGCCAGGGTGGGGTCCGAGGTCAGGTTTGAGTGGAGGTTCTTGTGTCGGTCGTCTAGACTGGAGAATTCGTGGAGAAAGTGTTAACAATGCAGACTGACCCTAAAAGTATGTCATGGGTGCATGCTGTGTCTGGAGAGCCTGGTTGTTAAACGCTTACCAGCACACCCCTGCGGTGCGTGCCCTGAAATGCCTCGTGACAGCTTCAAGAAACTTCTTATGCCGATCAAGAGAACGGGGCATCACATAAGTGATGCTGGGGAAGACCTTGGCCTGGGCTGGGGGCACCGGCTCCTCCCCTCTTGGTAGAGCAAGGCCGCTGATGGCCGAGCTTTCTGGGCTCTGCGTGGGGAGGACCGGGGCAGCTTGGTTGCCTCCGCTCTGTGGCTCCCTCTGTTGGAGGTGCCCGGGGACTCAGCCCTTTGTTCTTCCTGTCTCTTCCTCCTTAGCTGTTGGGTGTCAGTAAAGAGAACAAAGAGGGCTTTGTTTACGGTCCTGATGATGATAAATGATAACAATGACTCCTGATGATTCACCAAGGAAGGCTTAGTAGTTATCCCTTACCCAGAGTCACATGGGAAATGCACTTGGTAGCCTGTAAGCTCCGAAATCCTCGGTTACCGCTCACCATGAGCCATAGCAAAGCTAAGGACCGGGAAAGGCTGTTTTGTTTTGGTTTTTTCCGGTTTTAGCTAGATTAGGGAAAAAAGGAACATCATAGAACTGGTCAGACTGTGTGGGAGGTGGAGGCTCAAGGATTACTGAGGACAGAGAAGAGTCTTCTTTGGCCTCTTTTAACCCTGCCAAAGTAAAGTGACCCTTGGACCAGAAGGCACCTAAGACGAATGTCCTGGAGGAAGCTGAAACTTGAGATAAGTGGGGCAATTCTAAGCCAGCTACACCGGAGGAATTTAAAGTCCTCTGGCCTCGCAGGGGCTGCATTCTAGGGTTCTGAGAGCTGGCGTATCAATGGGATTGCAAAGATGGTGGAGCCCCAGAAAAGTGCCACGGGCCTGAAGATGGGAAAATGCCATCTGGATTTCCAAAAAAGAGAAGAGAATGAGTCTGGGAATGATAGGGCCAGTGAAGTTCACTTTGACTCTTGGGAAAATTCTATGGTGAAATGTGGAAGAGAAGGTTAGTGAACATTTGGAAAAGGCAGTAGTGATCACCGAGAGCCAGCCTGGTGTCGGCAAGCGCGGGCCCTGCCTGACTCCCTTCTTATGTGAGGGTTCCCAGTCTGGAGGGTTAGGGGAGCGCTATCAAGACAGCTTATCTTTGCAAAGCCCATGCTGTTCTTGCCCAGTGTGGTGAATTTGGAATGGGGTGAGCTCCCTCTAAGGGGGCTCTGTCTTAGCAAGGTAGGAGGGGAGGCCACCTGCTGAAGAGGCCCAGGGATGGAATCAGGGCTTGTATTCTCAGGGGCTCAGGGAGGGAAAGTGAGACTGAGTCAGTCAGGTAAATAAAGGCCTTTCTGTGCAGCCCGAAGTCGGGGCTCCAGGCACCTCTAGAGACTTTGTCAATGAGTGTGGGAGGAGGCTCAGGTAAGATTTGAGTAGAGTAGGGAAGGAATCAGTGCTTCTGTGGTGTTTACCTTGTAAACTCTTTATTATGCCAAACGCTTTTTACAGATATGATCTCATTTAATCTTCACAATAATCCTGGGAAGCACATGTCATTCTGATCCCTTTGAACTCAGGTCCTCCTGACTCAGGCAGCTAGGTTCCACCATGGTTAGAGCACTGGGCTTGGAATCAGAAAAACTCATTCATGTTCATAAGTTCAGATCTAGCCTCAGATACTTACTAGCTGGGTGACCCTGGACAAGTCACTTCACCCTGCTTGCCTCAGTTTCCTCATCTGTAAAATGAGCCAGAGAAGGAAATGGCAAACCACTCCAGCGTCTTTGCCGAGAAAACCTCAAACGAGGTTAGGGAGAGTCAGACGTGACTGAATAACCCTCTGAGATGTGAAATTGACCCCGCCCGAGTGGCTGAGATAGTGTCATGGGCATGGAGGGGCTTGATAAACCGAGATGTGGGAGGATTAGCATCAGTCTGGTGACCCGTGCAAAGCTACACCATGACATCTTTGGTAGAGCCTCTCTGACCACCCTGTCCCCAGTCCCCATAGTGAAATAGGCCCTTTGCCTCTCTCCAGCCATACCCACCACTTGTGGTCCCCTGCTACTGGGGTCACGTGCAGCTGGTTAGACTCCCCCGCCACACATAAGGGCGGGGGGTTGGGGGGCGGGGAGTATTAGCTAGCCGCTGGAGCCCCTGAGGAAAGGGGGAGATCCAGGGCCCAGAGTATTTGCCAGGATCTCGTTGGCAGCAGCAAGAACTCAGAGTGGTCTGTAGGCATGAATGTCAGAGGGAGAGAGGCTCGCCAGGGAGCAGTGGGAGTGAGGCGTGCCTGGGCTCCCCCTGGCCTCAGGGGGTGAGAGAAGGAGGGGCCCAGGGGATATGGGGGTAGAGAGGTGAGCGCCCAGGCACCCTGTGTCCTTGTGGCAGCAGAAAGAGAAGGCAGTCACAGAATGGAGGCGCCAGCAGTGGCTGAAGTTCCAGCGGGTCAAGGGGGCAGAGAGAGGGGCTGGGCTGGAGGCCACCCGGTGAAAGCACGAGGTTAGGAGCCAGGGAGCCACGGCAAGGACAATGCCTTGGACTGAGGCGAGCAGGAGCCGGGACTTGGGAGCCCTGGGGCAGGGGTCACAGAGGAGGGGATTCTTTGGTTTCGGTCGTTACAATGCACTGGTGCCTCCTCCCCAGGCGCAGCGTGATCGTGGGCGCTGGCTACATTGCTGTGGAGATAGCGGGCATCCTGTCGGCCCTCGGCTCTCGGACGTCACTGATGATACGTCACAACAAGGTGAGAGATGAGGCTGATGAAGTGATGGTGATGGCTGGCGCTGGTGATGAAATACACTGGTCGACAAAGCGCTAGGTAACTCGTCCGGAGGTTGCAGGGCTCCGTGTCCTCATTTTTTTTGTCAGAGTTGGGGGTTTCCCAGGTGGTAGTGAGCTGCTTGTCCAGGAGGGATTCAAGTGCTGGCTGGGAGCGATAGGGGCAGCCCGGCGTGTTGAGGGGTAGGGCTGAGGATAGAATCCCAGCCTTTCGCAGAGGAACCTGCCCTAGAATGGGCTTTTGCCTTCAGGATGAGCCCTGTCAGTGCCTCCCCGGAAGAGCAGTCTGAACTTGATGAAAACTCAGGGACTGTCCTCGGCGTCCGGGGGCAAACGAAGGATTCCCGGTGTGTGGACACCGTGCATCTGGGGGTCGTCACTTCTGCCCCAGCCTCTTCTCTGAAGGGCTGCCCTTAACCAAGGCAGACGCTCTCACAGGGTTGAAGCTGGCCTTGGAGGCCATCTCCCCTGGCTCCCCCAGGGGGTCACAGCCACCTAGGGAATCAGTGGGCAGTGTGTTACAGGCCCTGGGTTTGAATCCCTGCTGGCATAGATGGTCCTTGGTCCCTCCCAGCTCGAGTCTGGAGTGGGGCTGGAGTTTGATCCCAGACCTTCGTGTCCCGTCTGACCGTCCCGATTCTTCTTTGCCCCCTTCCTTCCTCCTCCCGGCAGGTGCTTCGATCTTTTGATTCAATGATCAGCTCCAACTGCACTGAAGAACTGGAGAATGCGGGCATCGAGGTCCTGAAGTACTCCCAGGTATGGCAGGGCACGGTCCGGGCGGGGCCAGCCCTCCCTCTTGGCAGCCCCCTCTGCTTCCCCGGGGGGCTTGGCCTGCTGCCGTGGAGTGGGCCCAGCCTCCTGGCGTGCATCCTCAGGCTTGGCTGTAGGCCGAGGCCCATCTGAGAGCAGGCTGTCCTGGAAAGAGCATCTCTCCTAGCCTCTCTGCCTACACTGGGAGGGATGAGCCTCTATCCGTGCCTCCGGGGACAGCAGTCAGAACGGGAGGCAGCTTCCCCAACAAGGGAAGGCTCTCTAGGCCTGCCAGTCAGTGTGCATGCCCACCCTGAATCCTCTCTGGCTATGTGGCCCTGTGCTCGTGGGCTGGTCTTCTGTGCCCCCGTGGAAGCATACGCTTCTTAGGAACCTGCGTCGCTTCCCCGGTGCCTTGGTGTCCACATACTGAGCACAGTTAGGATGGGAAGGACTATCCCGAGGGCACGGCGCATAAGCCCTTCCTGCAGTGAGGCAGGCGGCTAGGTGTGGCACTGCACTTGGGTTCCTGTCTAGTCTGAGGCTGGATCTAGCCAGCAGCTGTGAGACCCTGGGCCACTTCCTTAACCTCTCCAGTCCCGTTTTCTCCTCTGCAACTCGAGGCTGGACTTGAGGGCCTCTGAGATCCCTCCGGTCTCAGAGCCAGGATCCCAGGCTTCTGGCTACTTCTCACAGCTAAAATGACTGCCAGCCTGTCCCCCCTCCTGTGTGGGAGCTCCCTGTCCTGGCAATACCCCGGTTGTGTCTCAGAAGATAAGCCACGCTCTGCGCATGGGACCCAAAAAAACCCTCCCCCCACAGAGCTCATATTCTAAAGGGGGACGTGATGTCTCTGCAGGTCCAGGCAGCAACGATAGTTTGGGAAGGCAGAGGGGGTGATCACTCCTGGGGGCCTGAGAGGAGGGAAAAGTCAGGGAAGGCTTCACGAAGGAGGCAGCATCTTAGCTGGGAAAGACAGGGATGGTGAGCAGCAGAGGGAAGGTACGGGGCCAGCCAGGAGGCCACGAGGATGGGCAGAGTCAGGATGCACAGTGACCCCCGCCTCCATGCACCATCCCTTGCCCGGCTTCATCCCCACCCTTGTCTTTGTGGCCAGATCAAGGAAGTGAAGAAGGCCTCCTCTGGCTTGGAGCTGACCGTGGTGACGGCGGAGCCCGAGAGGAAGCCCACCATCTCCACAATCTCGGACGTGGACTGCCTGCTGTGGGCCATCGGGCGCACCCCCAACGTCAGGGGCCTGAACCTGAACCAGCTGGTGAGGCCTGCCACTGAGGGGGTGGAGTGGGGGGGTGCCGGGCCTGTCCCCTCTGCTGAGGGCGCTGCTGCTGCTCACCCCTCCCCTTCCCCCGCACCCCATGGCCCGAGACCTTGTCATCACTACTGGTGCCCAGAAGGCAGGGGGGGAGGCTGCCCTCCTGCAGCTTGCAGCCTCGTCACTGTCCCTCCCTCTTCTCCAAATGAGATGAGATAGGAGGTATTGTCAAGCTCTGGGCAGGGGCCTGGCACGCAGGAGGTGCTAAATCAATACTTACTCCCTTCCCTCCCTCTCCCCTCCTCACTTTCTGTGCCTGCCGGCACCGAGGCCCCAGGCATAACTGAGCTAGAGGGCGCTGGCCTCCACTCTGCCCTGCCTCAGGGGCCCAGGGCCCACGCCCCAGGACCTGAGCTCCTTGCAGGATTTAGCAGCCTATGTGGGAATAACCATAGCTAGCATTTTAAAGCACTTTACAAAGATATTGTGCCTGATTCTCAGCCAGCATGAGAGGCAGAGCCTGTTAGGATCCCCTTTTACAGATGAGGAAACTGAGGCAAGCAGGGGAAGTGACTTTCTAGGGGTCTGGGCTCAGATTTGAACTCTGGGCTTCCTGGCACCAGGTCCAGGGCTCCATCCGCCAAGGCATACAGCTGCTGCTGCTAAATGCATTTTTGGTGACTTGCAGTGGGCAGGCTTCCACTGCGGGAAATGGCCTTTAGCTTGGGGGTTTGGTGGACCGCATGCCCTTGCCGAGGACGCTGAGGGTTGTAATCACGCGTTTTGCCACTGCAGGGCATTCAGACCGACAGCGAAGGGCACATCCTGGTTGATGAATTCCAGAACACCACCAGAAAGGGCGTCTATGCTGTCGGGGATGTGTGTGGGAAAGCTCTTCTTACTCCAGGTAGCCCTCCTCCTCCTCCATGTCTCTCCTCCTCCTCCCCCTCCTCCTCTCTCCTCCTCCATGTCTCCCCTCCTCCTCCCCCTCCCTCTCTTCCCTCCTCTCCCCTCCTCCTCCCTCTCCTCCTCTCTCCTCCTCTATGTCTGCCCTCCTCCCCCTCCTCCTCTCTCCTCCTCCATGTCTCCCCTCCTCCTCCCCATCTCTCCCTCTCCCTCTCTTCCCTCCTCTCCCCCCCTCTCCTCCATGTCTCCCCTCCTCCTCCCCCTCTCTCTTCCCTACTCTCCCCCCTCCTCCTCTCTCCTCCTCCATGTCTCCCCTCCTCCTCCCCATCTCTCCCTCTCCCTCTCTTCCCTCCTCTCCCCCTCCCTCTCTTCCCTACTTTCCCCCTCCTCCTCCCTCTCTTCCTCCCCTCCTCCCCTCCCTCTCTTCCCTCCTCTCCCCCCCTCCACCTCCTCCCCCTCCCTCTCTTCCCTCCTCTCCCCCCTCCCTCTCTTCCCTACTTTCCCCCTCCTCCTCCCTCTCTTCCTCCCCTCCTCCCCCTCCCTCTCTTCCCTCCTCTCCCCCCTCCCCCTCCTCCCCCTCCCTCTCTTCCCTCCTCTCCCCCCTCCTCCTCCTCTCCTCTTCTCTCCTCCTCTATGTCTGCCCTCCTCCCCCTCCTCCTCCCCCTCCTCCTCCCCTCCTCCTCTCTCCTCCTCCATGTCTCCCGTCTCCCTCCTCCCCCGCCCTCTTCTCCCCTCCTCCTCCTCCCCACTCTTATCCAGCTGGGCAGGCTCCCTGCTCTCTGGGCCTTGCCGTCCCCGCTGCCAGACTTCCTGTGGAGCTGGGCTGGCGTCACCCGGTCTGTGGCTCAGAGCTCGCCGGCTGCGGCTGTCCCCCAGCCTCAGCCTCCCAGAGAGCCTCCTTAGAACTGCTAGGTGACTGCTGAAGGATGTGCTGACTTGTGACTGTCTGTGGGCTCCCTCAGCTCTATGACTTCCTAGTTTTCTCTGACCCTCGGTTTCCTCCTCTGTAAAATGAGGGGGTGGACTTGAGGTTATCCCGGGTCCCTTCGAGTGACAAACTGGAAGTCTTTGGCTTTGTCACCAGTCTGCAGACGGCCAGCGTGGGCAGCGTCCTGGGGAGCGGTGGTGCCTGGGGGCCGGGCTGCCCCGGGAGCCTGGGTTTGCCTTGCCAAGGCACATTTCCTACCAACGTTGTTTTTCTTCCTTTTCTGTTTGGCAAGAGGTGGGGGGAGCTGGGAGAGGGAGGCTATAGGCAGGGATCCCCGAGCAAAGGAAGGGGAAGAAAGATGGCCCCAGAAGCATTCAGTTTGTTATACTGTAACACCCCTAAGGCATTCCCATTTGCCCTAGCACGTCAAAGACCACAGCCTTCCTGGGAGGGAGGGAGAGGAGAAGGAAGGTGTTATTCATCTCATTTCACAGATGAGAAGACTGAGGCAGATGCAGGTGAAGCACCTTGGTTAGGGCTACTCAGCTACAAAGTGTCAGGGGCTAGATTTGAACTCAGCTCTAACTGACTCCAGGCTGGGTGCTGTGGCGCAGTGCTGATGGTGGGTGGTGTGCCAGGCTGGTGAAAACCTACTCCTGAGGCCTTTTATTAGCTTCTGTGTGAGGGGTGGACACCCGCTGGCAGTGCCGCGGTCATCTTTCTGGCCGGCGGTCAGTTTTTGCAGCTTTCCTTGGCGTATGCTCGCCTTTGCACCATCTGTTTCCGTAGTTTGAGAAGATGACCTCAGGTTTTCAAAGGAGGACTTGGGTTTTGGATTGTTCTTGGGAGATAACGAGTGGTCTTGAGTGAATTGTTTGAGCGATGAGCCATTTCTCCGTCATTAAACCGATGAACAGTAAATACATCGAGGGGCTTCCCCAGGTGCCTGGAGCTTTCACCCTGAAACCCTACCCCAGTGAGCCTGGGAAGAAAGCGATGGGGTCTGAGGGCTGTGGGGTCTGCACAAGTGCTGGACTGGTGGGAGATGGACAGCACACTCGGGCCCTGGGTGCCAGGGTGGGGCTCGCCAGGCTTATGAGATGGCTCATTTCTAATATAATGAATTTGGCGGGGTGTTCATCTTGAGATTTTTATTCCTTGCTCTTCTGGCCGTGCCTTAGAACTGCCTTGAGATGGGGCACCCCGTCTTCTTTACTCTATCTCCTACCCTGTGAGTCAGGCCCCTCCCACCCCATCTTCTCTTCCCACCCAGCACACTTTGCTCTCAAGCCTACCCACTGCCCGTTCCTGAAGGGTTCTGGTCTCAGGTTTGAAGCTGCCCTCATAGCCCCAATCTAAGAGTCCCTAGTTCAGTGAGGCTACGCTCTTGAGAATGGTTGGTTTCTTTGTTTTGGCAAATACTTCCAAGACGCCAGCTCAATAGTTTGGAAAACGTGCCAGCCTGGGATAAGACTGTCTAAGATGGCGGCATAGACCCTTACTGTGGGTGGATTGCTGGTGCACATGTGGCTTGATGGGCCTGCCCAGGCTCCCAGCATTCACCTGAGCAGACAGAGCGGCCATGATGCCCACGCAGTGGGTCCATGAAGGAACAGCATCCCGACAGCACCCTCCCTGCCTACCTGAGGCGTCTAGGGGCCAGCTGGCCTGAGGGATTTAAGCCTCCAGAATAAGTGCCATCCTAATGCCCATCTTGTATTTCCAGTCGCAATTGCCGCGGGAAGGAAACTTGCCCACAGACTTTTTGAATGCAAATTGGACTCCAAGCTAGACTATGAAAACATTCCCACTGTGGTCTTCAGTCACCCGCCGATTGGGACAGTGGGACTCACGGAAGGTAGGAGCCCATGTCACCATTTTGTGGGCCTGCCTTCTCCTGCTGTCTCTCAGGGAAGCAGGAGTGGTGTTCAGGCTACCCAGTGGGCCTTGCCTTCAGACACACTCCCTCCTCCCTCCCGCGCTGGGGGACCAGCCCTCTGCCCGTGGGCCTCTTTGGAAGCACAGGACAGAGATGGTGTTCATTTGCCTTTCAGATGAAGCCATTTCTAAGTATGGGAAAGAAAATGTGAAGACCTATATGACTGCCTTTACCCCTTTGTACCATGCAGTGACTAGAAGGAAAACCAAGTGTGTGATGAAGATGGTGTGTGCCCTCCAGGAAGAGAAGGTAGAGGACCACGCCTGTCCAGGGGGAACGGTGGGGTGGGAGGGAACAGGGGAGCTTCCGTAAGGAGGGAGGGAGGGGCTGATGACCAGCGAGCTCTTGGGATATTTTATTTCCTGTGTGTAAATTATGTTTTAGTTTTATCTTCCTCAAGGCCATTACTTGCACATAATAATAACAACAGTTAGCATTTATATAACACTTTCAGGTTTGCCGAGTACTGTACAGATGTTATCTCACGTCAATGGAAGGCATGCTGGGACATCTTTTTAGTTATTTTTTTCTGGTTAGCAAACATTTATATTCCCTTTGTCCGCTGAATGCAGAGGAAAAAAGGAACCCTTTGGAACAAACTCCCTTATTGATCGTGTCCAAAAGCGTGTTTCTCATTTGGTTCCTTTCCCAGGGAGTGTGGTCAGAAGTACGGAGGAGGGTGTTTGCTCCTAACGGGTGGTGGGAGGTGGGTGTGTGGGCCGAGGCAGCAGTGGGAAGAGCCGGCTGCAGGGTCAGTAGGCGAATCCCTTCCCCCCTTCCTCCTCCGTCCTGGGAGGATGGACAGCCGCATCTCTGAGGTGCCTCCAGGCTCCAGAGCCTTACTGGCTTGGAGATTGGGGAGGTGCTCTTTGGCTAAACTTTTATAATCTGACCTTTAACACGCTCTGCCACTACAGGCAGCTCACATCTGAGAGTCACAGACTATCACAGCTGAAAGACCCCTCCAAGCTGTCCTGTTGTGTGCAGGAACGCCCCAGAACATCCTCCCCAGGTGGGGGTCACCCATCCTCCGCGTGGGGTCCTCCGGGGACGGGGAGCCCTCTGTTTCCCCGATGGCCCATTTGTTCCCCTTAGACGAGATGGGATTCCTTGGAAATGGGCTGTTTTCTCATGCCAAATCCGGATCTCTCCTCTCCCCCCTCATTCAGCTCCTGAGCCTCGGTGCCAAGGACTTTGTAAGTCTTATGGCCTCACAGACGTACCAATTGTCATCATTAACCCAGTCTTTGTGATGGGAGGATGGGAAGAGCATCCTGAAGGTTCTTGCTGAAGGGACCTTGGAACCTAAGCTTTTCTTACTTTTTAGAATGTTTCTGAGGTGTTCCTGCTGAGCAGCGTAGACCCGCCGTGCGCAGGCTCGTGGTGGGAGGTGCCCACTATGGCTGCTGATTAAGGTCTAATGCTCTCTGCCTTCTCCAGGTGGTGGGGATCCACATGCAGGGAATCGGGTGTGACGAGATGCTACAGGGCTTTGCTGTGGCCGTGAAGATGGGGGCCAGAAAGGCCGACTTTGACAACACGGTGGCCATCCACCCGACCTCCTCGGAAGAGCTGGTGACGCTCCGCTGAAAGAGGCCGACTCTCGGAGACCGTTGCCTAACGCCACTGCCAGACGCCTCTTTTCTCATTCCTCTTTTGTAGACTAAGTTTCAGTCCAGTTCCTTTATGGTCACGAAGATTTTCAATAAATAGCAGACACGATTTCTGTAACAGAGCTGCTCTCGTTTTTCCGTCCTCTCTCAGTTTTCCCAGTTTTCAAGGGTTAGAGGCTGAGGGAATTAGGACAGTGAGTGGTTAATTGGGGGAGTTGAGTGACCCACACTGAGTCCATCTTGTGACTCAGTTCTGGAGCTGGCTCAGTTCCCTTTCTATTCAATCATGGGTTGAGTCCAAGTTCTGTCTTGGGAGAAATCTTTATTCAATTGTGGGAATTGTATTGTTTGAACCTACTCTTGGCTGGGATGCTGGGCCACCTTTTCCTGCTGTTTAGGGACCCTCAACTAGGGACCTGGGCAGTGGATGAAAGCCCTGGGCTTGGAATCAGGGAGACTCATCTTGCTGAGTTCAAATCCAGCCTCAGACGCTTACTAGTGGTGTGACCCTGGGTGAGTCATTTCACCCTGCTTGCCTCAGTTTCCTCATCTGTAAAATGAGCTGGAGAAGGAAATGGTGAACCAGTTCAGTATCTCTGCCAAGCAAACCACAAAGAGTTGGACACGACAGAAATGCCTCAATAACAACAGACGGCAGCTAGGCCCCTTGGACTGCGCTGAGCAGAAGCTCGATCTGAAGACGGATGCGGAGACTTTTTCTCCAGGTCTGTCCCTGGCTCGGCTCTGCCACCTCAGGAGGAGAACAGCAGACCAGTGTGGCTTGACCCCGGAGGCGTGAGAGGGCGTGATGGGGACTCGCTGTTTGAGGAGAAATTGCAGAAGTCCCTTTTCCACATTTTTTAAAATTTTAAATAATTTCTGTGTTTTTAGCTTTCAACATTCACTTCCGTAACATTGAGTTTTAAATTTTCTCCCCTTCCATCTCCTCCCCTCCCAAGATGCTGCACGGTCTGACACAGGTTCTACTTATACATTCACATTAAGCATATTTTCCCATTAGTCATGATGTAAAGAATTAGAACCAATAGGAGGAACCACCAGAAAGAGGAAACAAAACAATAAAAGAAAAGAAGAGGGAAAAGAATCTGCTTCCATCTGCATTCAGACTCCACAGTTCTTTCTTTGGATGTGGACAGCATTTTCGAGATGTCTCAGATCCTTGTATTGCTGGGAAGGGCTCAGTTTATCACTATTAGTCATCACACAATGGGGCTGTTATTGTGTACAAAGTCCTCTTGGTTCTGCTCACTTCACTCAGCATCAGACCATATAAGTCTTCCCAGGTTTTTCTGAAGTCAGCCTCTTCATCATTTCTTATAGCACAATAGTATTCCATTACATTCATATACCACAACTTGCTCAGCCATTCCCCCAATGGATGGGCCTCCTCTCAGTTTCCAATTCTTTGCCACCACAAAAAGAGCTGCTATGAATATTTTTGTACTTGTGGGTCCTTTTCCCATTTGTTTAATCTTTTTGGGATATAGCCGTAGAGGTGCTATTGCTGGGTCAAAGGGTACGCACATTTTTATAGCCCTTTGGGCATAGTTCCAAATTGTTCTCCAAAATGGCTGGATCATTTCACAACTCCACCAGTGATGCATTAGTGTTCCAATTTTCCCACATCTTCTCCAACATTTATCATTTTCCTGTTTTGTCATGTTGGCCAATCTGATAGGTGTGATGTGGTACCTCAGAGTTGTTTTGATTTGCATTCCTCTAATCAATAGTGATTTCTTTTCTACTTTTTCTACTGATTTTTTAAAAAGTAGCCTTGAAATCTGGTTTGAAGAATCTGTATTTTAATTGGAAAGATAGGCCATTATGTTATTCTGAAATGGCATTTTCAAAGGGAGAACGTTTTTTTTTTTGGTGAGGCAATTGGGGTTTAGTGACCTGCCCAGGGTCACATAGCCAGTGAGTGTCAAGTGTCTGAGGTCACATTTGAACTCAGGTCCTCCTGACTCTGAGGCCCGAGCTCTATCCACTGCACCACCTAGCTGCCTCAGGAGAACCTTTTAAAATCAGTAAATATGCACATTTCCTAATATGTATATATATATATGTGTGTGTGTTTAACCATATTTGTGACTAGACAAGTGTTCTTAAGCACCAGGCACAGTGCTGGACGTTGTGAACACACAGACAAAAGTAAAACTGCCCTGCCCACGAGGGGTTTACATTCTAGATGGAGGAGACACACAGAATGGACCGAGCGGACAGGGTAGCTTGGGGCGGTGGGGCTCTGGCAGCTGGAGAGACCAGGAGAGGTTTCTTAGAGGTTGGATTCCAAGAGCTGGTGGTGAGGAGAGAGGGTGTTCAAGGCATGAGGGCCTGGGGGCAGCTAGTCCAAAGGTGTGGAGAGCGGAGATGGCGCTGTGTGTGTGTGCACAGGACCAGGAGGCTGGCGTGCTAGGGGAGTAGACTGTGAGAAGTCAGAAGGCAGGAAGGGTCCGCGGTGGCAAGGGCTTCTCAGTGTCAGCCAGAGGGGTTTAATGGTACACAACCCTCCTGAGGGCCAGCACTTGAGCCACTGTCATGAGCCTCCTTCACCACGCTGGGACCCCTCTGGGCACCTCTTGCCAGGCCCTTCATCAGATCAACATTTATTAAGCGCCGACTGTGTGCCAAGTCGTGCTCGTCGGTGCAAGGCAGGACCATTCCTTCTCCCCGGTGCCAGGCTCCTGGAGTGCGCATGCCTTAGGGAAAGGGATAAAAAACATTTATGTAGCGTCTACTGTATGCCAGGACCTGGGCTTTACAAACACGAACTCCCTGGAGCCTCACAACCACCCTGGTGGTGGTTATGAGCTGGTGCTGGGGAAACTGAGGCAGGCAGTGGTTCACTATCTTGCTCAGGGTGCGCATCACTAGGACTAGCCGGAGGCAGGATTTGAACCCGGGTCTTCCTGCCGGCGCTCTCCGCACTCGTAGCCGCCCTCTAGTGGCCTGCACCGGCGCCTCCTCTTGGTCGACGCCAGGGGTTCCTAGGATTCATGTCAAGGCCTTCTCCTAGAGTCAGCTGACCCTCCCAAGCACCACCCCTCCCAGCGGCCACTACGGGTCAGCCGGCTGCGGAATGGAGAGGGGCGGGCGGCCCAGAGGCCTTAGCGGCATAACGCACCACCGTCGCCATGGCAACGAACAACGAAGCGCCTTTCTCTTTCCCAGCTACGCCGCCCCGTTTCCCAGAGCGCGTGTGGTGACGTCATGACGCCGGCACGCCGGCGGCAGTGGTGGCGGAGGCGGCGCAGGCGCACCGGCCACCCGCCTCTTCCCGGACTCCGGAGTAAGAAGCGGCTTCGGAGCCCCGGGTTTGGGTCGTCGCTTCCGCTGTCCGAACCGAGATCACGAGGCGGAGGTCCGCGGCGGATGGCCGAGCGAGCGGGCGAGTGCAGGCGCTGAAGGGACGCAAAGGGCCGGGCCGGCCCAGGGCGGAGAGGAGCGGCGGCGGCGGGCGGCGGGAGGCGGCGGCCGCCGGCCCCTACGAGGCGGCTCCTGCTCCTCCCCCCTCCCCTCGCGCAGGTGGGTGCGCGCCCCTACCCCGAGCGGCCCCCAGAGCGCGTGCGCCCTTCACGGTCGGGCCAGTGCGCGTGCGCCCTCCCCTTCCCCGCCCCGGTGCGCGTGCGTGCTGCCCCCACGTGGAGCCCGGCCCCCCAGCCTGCCCGGCCCCGCTCCGGGGCAGCGGCTCGGGACCGGGGGGGGGGGGGAGGGAGGGGCACCGGGGTTTCTTCCGGGCCTCTCGTTCAGGGTCCGGTCAGGAGAGGGAGTAGCCAAGCCCCTGGGGCCGAGCGGGGCCCCGGTTCTTTGGGCGTCGGCGAGTGAGAGGATGCAGGAGCCTTTAGCGCCTGCTCTGTGCGGAGAGAGGCTGTCAGGGGTGGGGGGAGCCGGGGGCCCGCAGGCGGCATGAGGTAGGAGAGGGGCCACAGCCGGTGCGAACGCCCAGAGTGGGGGGAGTGCAGCGTGTGGACCCCCGGAGGGTCGAAGATGGAGGTTCAGGGGGCCGGACGGGGAGGCAGGGACCCCGGGGGAGTTTTCAGGTTAAAGAAGCGACTTAAAGCTCGGTGTGCCTCCGTTTCTGGTGCTGGTCTCCCGGTGTCCCGTCTCCACCGCCTCCTTTCCCGAGCTCCCGGCACCGACACGGATTGGGGGTGGGGGGGTGTAGGGGGTGTAGGCGTGCATCGTCGGGCTTGGGATCGAACCCGGGGCCGAGCCTCGAGTCTGAGACCGTGAGGAGCGCGAGGTCCGGCAGCGCCGTGTGTCCGCTGCCTGGCCTCCGCCTCCCGCTCCTGGTGGAACCCGCCTCTGGCGTTGCTGCCCTGTGGTCCGGCCTGTGCGGCCAGGCTCGGGCGGACCAGACGGTCAGTCTGCCCGGGGTGGGGGGCTGAGAGAGGATGCTGCCTCCTTCAGGCCTGGTGCCCGAGACTCCAGGGCGGGGAAAAGCACCAGGAGTGAGACCGGCAGATGCTACTAAAGTCACCGCTTGTTAAACGCTCACTGCCCCCAAAGCGGGCTGGGCTCGGGTCCAGAAGTACAGACACAAACACCCGGCTTCCCCACAGAGGGGCGGCTCTGCCGGACACAAGGCTGCCTGGGAAGCTGGCCCTGCCAGGCCTCCCTCCTCCTCCTCCTCCTCCCTTGTCCACCCCGCGAGTGTCGGGTCACTTCCTTCCACTGTGATCCCAGCCCAGGGCTGGCCAGGGAGGGCTTTCATCAGGGTTCTTTGTCCTGGCAGCTGGTGGTGTTTGGTCCTTGGCCTTACCCCCTACAGATCCTTGGGAAGGGTGTGGAGGCGGGAGGGGGACCTGACTTTAGCGCCCCAGGCTCAGGAGACAGAACTAGCACTGCCACGGCAAACCCCAGTACTTTTGGCAACCGTGTGAAGGAGCAGAAGCCTTGGATTCCTTAGTGTGTGGGAGCACTCCCAAGCCCTGGTGACTCTCCCTGCTAATTGGCCAAGGGAGTTCTGCTGAGGTCCTCCCTAGGCCCCTGCAGCGAGCCCCAGGACTTTGAAGCTGGGCTGAAGGGCGGACTCAAGTCCGACCCCCACCCAGCTCCTTGACCTACACCTACTGGAAGCTGACTTCCGGCTTGGGGCTGTTTGCAGTAGCTTGTGTAAAAGGTGATGAGGCCAGAGCTGGGGTGGTGGTGGGCAGCATGGACGGTGCCTGATGCTGGATGTGGTGGGCAGATGGGGGCAGAGCGTAGAGCTGGGCTCCCGAGTTTCGCCCGCGGTGGGTGAGGAGCTGCTAGGAAGGTGGGATCACTTAAAGTAGACTTCATAGAACGCCGGTGATAATCCCCACCCACCCCAGGAGTGGCTTTGTCCTGTTCTTGCCAGGATCATCCATGCGGGCAGCATCTGTGGCGTGGCAACCAAGGCATTGATAACAGCAACCATTTATATAGGGCTTTTTGTGCTCACAGCTCCGCCACAAGAGAGGTGCTGCTATTGTCTCCCTTTGACAGCTGAGAAAACCGAGGCAGGCAGAGCTTAGGTAACCTGTTTAGGGTCGCACAGCTAGTAAGTGTCTGAGGCTGGATTGAGTGTGGGTTTCCTGGCTCCGGGCCCAGCACCGTGTCCATGGGGCTTTAGGTTACCTCTAAAGTTGATCCCCCCTGCTGGGGGGCTGCTCAGCCCATGTAACTAGCTTGTAGACTTAGCTCTGGGGCAGCTGAAAGAGTCAGAAGTGGTGTGGTGGGTCAGTTCCTGTCTCAGCCCTTTGTTAGTTTTGGGAGCCGGGCCAGTCACTCTCTCTGCAGAGAGTGCATCCCAGCTGGCTAGTGTGGAACTGCGGGGTGAGGAACTGGGGGACTCTGAGGCCCAGCATGGGCCCACCCGAGGCTGGTCATGGGAACTCATCGCTCTTGGGGAGTCTTGTTGCTGTAATGGGGCTAATGAGTGGGTTAGCTTCTTCCATAGCTTGGTCATGTCCTGGCTGCCAAGAGGATTGTGGTTATGGAAACCCCCGGCCTTGTGGTAGTTGTTTTTTTACAGGCACTCCTGTTGAGTCAGGTCTTTCCACAGTCTGGACTTACTGTTGAGTGTTTGCATCAGACTGCAGGACTTTGGAGGTGTTCCTGAGCGTGAGCTCCTCGAGGTAGGGAGGCTTGCCTGCCTCCAGCCCCTGTTCGTATCCCTATGACTTAACACAGTGCTAGGCTTGGAGGAAACACTTCCTCTGACTCTGTCTCTCTCTGCCATGTTAAATGTTCTTTATTTCAGCCCCTACTTTGCAGCTTGTTGAAATAGTTTTTATTCATTCAGCTCTTATTATACACATATGCATTGGGCTACTATATTTTTATCTAAATTATTGATAAAGTTATTGAATAAGACAGAGTCAATTAGTTTCAGAGCCTCCTTCACGTGGCAGACAAGAAACAATTTGAGTGGTCTGTCAATTTAATGACCATCACTGGTCTAAAATTATCTATTAATTGCAGCTGATTTTTTCAAAATTAGTTTATCCTGTCCACTTGAGAATCTTCTTAGCTTTTTTCTATCATAATTATTTTTATTTTTACAGCATTATGGATCCAAGCTTATTAAAAGAACGGGAGCTCTTCAAAAAACGAGCTCTCTCCAATCCATCAGTAGAAAAACGTCCAGCGCTTTCTGAGTCATCCTCATCGTCCAAGAAGAAGAAAGCCAAGGTTGAGCAGGGAGGATCGTCAGGCTCAAAACAAAATTCAGGTTGGTGAAGACGACTGCTGTGGGGACCTGCTTTTCAGAACTAAGAGGTGATGAAGGCCATTTTTAGCTATGCCCTCTGGGCCAGGCTTGGTGATGAGCTTATCAGAAATGACTGAGCTTTCAGAACAAAGCAGAGATGGCCCCCTGGGCAATACCAGTGCCCTTCAAACTCAAACAGTAGGTTTGAGAGCATGGATGGTTTTTGTCAAAGGAGATTTGAGTCCGGGTGGTTAGCATGTCCTCTGGGATTCCCCGCTCATCCCCTCTTCCCATGGGGTTCCTGTTGACTGTGTTGGCCTCAGACTTGAGAGCCTTGTAGGACTGGTGTTTGTCCTGAGACACCAGAGGAGAGGAGGGCCATACTTGATCATTACATTGGACCCCAAGTGGTCTTTTCTGTTTGCCTTGTTGGACTTGGCTGTATGTGGTTTTCTGCTTCCTGGACCGCTCCCTCTGTGTCAGTTCATAGAAATGCTTTGAAGCTTCCTGCAGTGATTTCGCTGTCATTTCTTAGATGAGGTACCCCACCATCCTGCTCACGCCCCATGTTTTGGGCAGCAGCTCCCCGGTCTAGAGATGTTGTCTTGGCCCCCACCAAATATGCTGCTATGAACTTGGGGGCATCCGTGGGTCCTTCCCTTCTGACTTAGGCCTCCTGGGGATCCAGACCCTCATTTTCTTTGTTTTTGTTTTGTTTTGTTTTTTGGCTAGGCAGTGGGGTTAAGTGACTTGCCCAGGGTCACACAGCTAGTAAGTGTTAACGTGTCTGAGGCCACATTTGAACTCAGGTCCTCCTGAATCCAGGGCTGGTGTTCTATCCACTGTGCCACCTAGCTGCCCCCCAGACCCTGATTTTCAAACTGCAGATGTACATGTTGGAGCATCTTTTTACCTTGTTACCTTTTAGATCCTTAGGAAGATAGCTGACTTGTGATTTCCTGAACTAATAGAAGCAGCAGCGATTAGTTTTTGAAAAAGTACATCATTGTTTCTCCTTCAACTTGAAGGATCCTGGTTCAGGGCTGACGGGGGCAGGGGCCATGGGGAGAAGGAAGAGAGCCCTTCTAGGCCTGGGGCGTTCCTTCATTGGTAAGTTGAGGGAGCAATTAGAAATGGCTCTCTGCCCCACATGTACCAAAATATTTATATCAATTCTTTCTGTGGTAGCAAAGAATTGGAAATTGAGAGGATGCCCATCCATTGGGGAATGGCTGAACAAGCTGTGGTATATGAATGTAATGGAATACTATTGTGCTATAAGAAATGATGAAGAGGCTGACTTCAGAAAAACCTGGGAAGACTTATATGGTCTGATGCTGAGTGAAGTGAGCAGAACCAAGAGGACTTTGTACACAATAACAGCCCCATTGTGTGATGACTAATAGTGATAAACTGAGCCCTTCCCAGCAATACAAGGATCTGAGACATCTCGAAAATGCTGTCCACATCCAAAGAAAGAACTGTGGAGTCTGAATGCAGATGGAAGCAGACTCTTTTCCCTCTTCTTTTCTTTTATTGTTTTGTTTCCTTTTTCTGGTGGTTCCTCCTATCGGTTCTAATTCTTCTTTACAACATGACTAATGTGAAGATATGTTTAATAGGAATGTATACATAGAACCTATTTCAGATTGCACGCCGTCTTGGGGAAGGGCAGAAAATTTAAAACTCAAAAGCATATGGAAGTGACTGTTGAAAACTAAAAATAAATTTTAAAAAATAATACTAAAAAAAATTAAAAAAAAGAAATGGCTGTCCAGGAATTCAAGTAGACCTCTTCACCCCATTTAAAAGTTGTTTTATTTCAGACTTAGCAGACAGTAACATATCAGTGAGTAAAGACCAGAAAGAAGAAGGAGGATGTATGAAACCGTGACCTGCCATCATGAATGGTTTTTTTAGGTTTTCTAGGATGCTCGTCTGTGCCCTTTCTGAGCTGTCCTCTGCTGCACTCTTCTGTAGTCTGTTTTCTCCCATTTCATTGCTCCTGGTCCATTTCTCAGCCATCTTTGGAAAATGACAGACGGAAATATTAGAAATCTGCCCTATTTGTTTTACTGTAACACCCCTAAGGCATTCCCATTTGCCTCAGCACGTCAAAGATCAAAATGGTGTCTGTCAAGTGGGGAGGAAAGATGCTATAATTTCATTGTGAAAGAACCGATGTTCCTGGTTCTAAAGTATCCCCAATACTTACTTTTTGAGTTTCTTAAATTATTTTCTCTGCATTATTCTGTATTGCCATTAAAATAAATCAGAAATTAAGATTTTTAGTTGCCTTTCTTCCTCGAAAGGAATGCCAAGAGAAAAGGACATCTCTAATCAGTAAGCATTGATTAAGCACCTGCTATGTTCTGGGTGCTGGGCTTACAGAGAAAGACTTCTAACAATCCCTGTTCTCAGGAGCTGATGTTATATGGCATTGTATGGGGGTGGGGACGGAAATGTGCCCATACATATAGCTAGAAAATAAATAGGAGGGTTGGGGATCCACAAGTCCTCAGGTAGGATGGGGCTTTGAAGGAGATTAGGGATTCTGAGAGCATTCTAGGTGTGGGACCCAGCTCGTGCACAAGGCATGGCTGTGTGGGAGGAGCAGGCAGAAGCAGGTGGCTTGGCTTGGTATGTTACAAGGAGTTGTGGATAATAAATCTGGAAAGGGAGGGTGGAACCAGCTGGTCAAGGATTTCAGATGCAGAGCAGGAAAGTTTACTTTTGTTCCTAGAGGGAAGGAGAGCCTCAGAAATTCTGAGCACTAGTGGCCAGATCTGTGCTTTCAGGAGATCTTGAAGTCTGGCGGCTAATGTGAATTGGAGAGGGGAGAGCCTGGAAACAGGGGAATCATTTGGGAGGTTCCTGGAGTGATCCCGGGGAGCTGGAACGTGGGCCTGAACTGGGGCGTTTGCCTCGGGAGCGGGGAGAGATGAGATGGGGACACGGTGGGAGAGGAGGTTTTGATGGAGAAGGTAAACTCTGTAAGAGCGCAGCATGGCATTGTTCTGGAAAACCCACAGAGACCTGTGTTTCCTTGGTATTACTTCACCCAGGGCCACCTGCCTCCTCGTCACCCTGGGCGTCCGGCTCCTGGCTCTCCCTCTCCTGGCTTCCTCCAGGCCCAGCTAAAACCCCACCTTGTGTGAGAAGCCTTTCCCCATCCTGCCCATGCAGCGTCTCCCCTCTGTGACTGGCTGCAGAGGGTCCTGTATGTTTCCTGCTTGTGCGTGGTGGTCTGTGTGTTGTCCCCATCAGCCTGGGAGCTCCTCAGGGCCCAGGATTGCCTTTTGCTTTTCTTTGCTCTCCTGGAGTTTGGCACAGTGCCTGGCATATGCAGCTTCCTGACTTGACTAATTTATTTGCAAGTGATTCTTCCTTTATTCCATTTTGTTCTAAAGCAAGAGTTTTTGACCTCATTTGTTTACAGACCCCTTTGGCTGCAGCCTAGTGAAGCTTCTGGACCCTTCTCAGAATCGTGTCTTTAAATGCATAAAATAGAGCACATCAGACTACGGAGGAGACCAGTTATTGTGACATGGAGTTACCACAGTATTTTAAAAGCGAGCTCAAAGACCCCGGCTTAAGAACCCCACCTCTAGTGTTGACTATATTAACTATTCAGGGGAAACATGTCATCACGGCTGACATTGACGTAGCATTTTAAAATCTGCCAGACTCCCTTGGTCTTATTTGAGCCTTTCAGCGACCCTGGGAGGTGGCTGGGGGAGCTATTGATATCCCTGTTTACAGAGGGGGGAGATGAGACCTCAAGTGTCAAGTGACTACGCTCACATAGCAAGCATCAGAGGTAGGATTTGAGTCCCGTTCTTCCTGCCTTGGGGTCCAGGTGTCCATCCTCTATGAATGCTGCCTGTCCATAACGAAAAGGAAGCGGTCTTACTTGGCGCGTAATTCCAACCTTGTTGAGCAGTTTCCTGTGTGATAGCTCTGAATGTAGGTCCTTATTAGTAAACCCTAGTCTTGGCCTGCTGGGATTTCTGGGGTCTGTGAAAGATGCAGGCTCAGCCTGGCTAACGAGCAGGAGAAGCAGTGCTTTTGTACCCTAATCAGCCTCCTGGGACTCAAGGGCTGCCCTAGGTGGCTTAGGAAGAACCTCGAACTTGGAGTCAGGAGCCTTGACTTTGCCACCCACGTAGGTGGGCACTTGAGCCTGGGCCAGGCCCCTGAACTGCTTCCGTCTCCACTCCCTCTCCGCGAGAGAAGTAGAGTATGTTCACTCCTTTCCATTGAGAGGAAACATTATTTAAGCACCTACTGAGGTACTGTGTGAGGCCCTCTTTGTGGGACTTGAGGCAAGTATGGCTGCTTCTACTTGCGAGAGGCCTTCCTCACTGGACCCTTACTGTCCAGTGGACCCTGGGGCTGGGCACTGGGTTGGGGCTCAAGGCGGCCGGGCAGGAATGGCTGTTTTTCTGACAGCTGGACAGAGGTCTGCCTGCTTGGAAATGCAGAGGCTTTTGGCAGCCATCATTCCCTTGGTTTAGGGGTTGCCCTCACTCCAGGGGCCCTGAGGGGAGGGGTCTGCTCTTACTGGCACTGGCAGAGTAGGGAGCCGATTCTTTTCCCAAGAGATAGCCGGCCACGATAATGGTGCAGCCTCACCTGAGACTGAAGCACTAGCTTTTCAAGTTGGCTGAGGACTTCACAAAGAGGATCTCATTTGATCCTTGTAATAACCCTCTCAGGAGGGAAGGGCTGTCAGCAGCCCCATTTTACCAGTGGGGTAACTGAGGCAGGCAAAGGTTCACACTGCCAGTATCTGTCTGGTGCTGGATTTGAACTCAGGTCATCCTGACTCCATGTCTTGCTTTGGGCCACCTAGTTGCTACTCCGTAATGCTTTTGCTTGATGTGATTTTGGATGTTCAAAGACACCTTGTTGGGCTTGCTTTTTATACATCGTCATCTGATGGATTCAAAGGGAGCAGTTTGAATTGGTGGACTCAGATGATTTGAAGTCTTTTTTAAATTGCATTAAAGCCCAACCGA